CCCAGGCCAGGTTGGACGGGGCTTGGAGCAACCTGGGCTGGTGGAAGGTGTCCCTGCCCATGGCAGGGGGTGGCATTGGATGAGCTTTGAGATCCCTTCCAACCCAAACCATTCTGGGATTCTGGGATTCTGTGTCTCACACAAATCTACTCCCAAGAGTCAAGCCAAGATGCTCACATGCTCTTTTATCAGCCCTGGGCTGGGTGGGACCCAGCTGCCTTGCAGACCACACAAGAATAAGAGCAGAACAAATGTGACCTCAGAGAACGGAGGAGATGAGATGGAAACAACCAACAGAAAGGGGGAGAAAATATGCAGAGTGCTTGGGCAGAAAAGTGTTATCTGCACATGAACTTCTGTGTTTGCACCTGTAGAAGAGCCCAGCAGGGACACAGAGAGAGCTGATCCCACCTGTGCCTTGTCTCCTGAGGATGCAGGAGCTTGAGGCAAGGGTGTGTCTCCACACAAGGTGGACATGAGGGAAGATAGAATCAGAACCTGTTCTAAATGTGCCCTTTGAGAACAGTCTCCATCTCCTGCACTAGAGCTGAAATTTAACCCATCATTTGTGTTTGGAGTTCCTAATTTTAATGCTGCTTCGTGGGTTTTTTCTGGAGTGACAGATGACACGAACATTCCTGAAACAGCTCGTGGTGCAGTGCTGGGCACTTTGCATCCCCATTTATATTCATTTACAAAGTGGTTCTGCAACAAAACAATGTCCTATTTTGCTAACGTGAAAACTTGAGAGCTTTGGAAATGGGGTATAAAATAGCAGCTTTCACCTTAGGGAAAATAAAGGCATGAGAGGTGAAACTGTGGGAAAAACTCACGAGGAACTGTTTTCTCAGTCCTCTGTGCAACCACAGAATTCTGTGACTGCTTTCTTTCAAAATAGATGAAAAGATGGAGCTGAAAGCAAAGATGAATTTCAGAGTTGCTCCTCTAGGGATGGACAATTCTGGCTCCCAGAAAGCTAACCATAATTTCACAGAAAGGCTCGGAGAATCCTGCTTGGCAGTCGTTGCAATAGGAGTGAACAAATGCACAGACTCTTTACCCAAAATAGCAAAGGCTCATTTTTCTTTACTGTGACATTTATTCTGTTTCTGAGAGCACAAAAATACAAATCTGTAGAATATAAACAGGCCATTTTGTTCTTGAAGTCAAACTGTGTTGCATGATGGACAAGCCAAGAAAAGGAAAGGGATTATTGGAGAGGACACACTTTGGAGAAATGGGACTTTGTGCCCTGAGAAAGAAATACATCTTCTGTTTGTCCACAGCCAGCAGGGTATTTCTCTGTTCTCATTCCCAGGTTGCTGTGTTTCAGCTCTGTGGGGATGTAGGGACAAGTTTGGGCTGGGATTTGACTGATGCCATTTATTTTCTGCCTCATTTATGGCTTTTGCTGGATCTACTCAACTCCATCACAGCAGAGCTCGAGGGAGGGAGCTCTGCAAGCTGGCCAGGAAATATAGGAATAATTAACAGAATAGAAATGCTTCTGTGAACCTGATATGGGAAAAGTGGAGTTTGGTAAAAAATCAGCAGTGGTGGATTTGAAATGGACATCTTGGACATGGATGTGGATTCTGACCTCACAGAATCATGGAATCAGAGAACAGTTGGGTTGGAAAGGGCCTTAAGGATGTCTGCAACCTGCTGGTCTCACCTTTTCTCTCTGATGAATAGAAATAGTTTCTACATTGATTTTTGAATGTTTTCTTAACACTTAAAGGAAAGGTGTTAACATCCCTTTCACTAATCCATTTACATAGTTAATATGCACAAATAGTTAAATGCATTGCTTAAACTTCTGTTGTTAGATGGTATGAATATTCTCTACTAATTAAGAAGGCTATTTGCCTTCAGTATTGCTCATATTCTGGTTCAGTCATGACATTTTATTATTCATATCATTTTCCTAGTCACTGTTCTCTCAAGTTTCATATCTATGTGCTTTATCCACAGATTGCTTGAGCTTTAACTACTTAAGAACTGGCAGCACTTCATTGGTATCTTTTCTGTTTCAAACCTTCTTGATAGCCCAAGATCCTCTCTGTGTTTCACCTTTGCTTGAAAAAACAGCTGTGACATCAATAATTACATTACTAGGCCGAGATGCTTTATGTTGTTGTTTTTTCCAGTTTTTCAAAACTTCATTCTGGTTGATAAACTCACAACTTCTCAGAATAATTGATTACATTCACCTCTTACTTAAGCCTGAAGTGCTTATTTTATATTTACCAATTTTATGTCTTCCCTCATTTGAGACTTTTACTCCATCCCTGGGCATCTCCACTCTGTTTTTAGAGCAGGTGCTCACCATTTGTGCCACAGGCTTTCTTTTCCCTGCTTTATCCTGAGTTCCCACGTCTCCCGTTCCTCACAATTTAGTGATTAACCTCTGCAGCAGGACAGCTGCCTCAGCAATCACTCTGCTCAGAACTCATCTGATTTCTCCCAAATGAATATTCAGAGTCTCCCTCTTTGCTCGCTAAACCTTTAAGTACCTCATTTCCTTTCCACGTCCTCTTCATCAGAGCAGATGATCTGAATTACGTCAGGTCCAGCCTGGATGGGATGTTTGAAGTTCTGCATTATGCTGGTGGCTGTGTTATCATCCAGCAGGACAGCAGGCCTTTTATTTCTCAGCTTTACAACTGCAAATTTGTTTGAGTTCTTTTTTGCTTTGCTGCCCACTTTTGCCACTTCTGAGGGTACTGAGGGGGTCACACTGGTGAAGGTACCAGTTAATATGGTAACACTTAAAATTTAAAATGAACACCAAGTCACACCATTCACAGTCTTGCACATCTAATTTTTTATGGGAGGGGTTTGGTCTTATTGCTCCTTCATATTTTGCAACCTCTCCATCAGGCCTGGAGAGGGTTTGGCCAGGAGGAGGAATTTGTTGCTGGCAAGGGTGGTCAGGCCTTGGCAGGGGCTGCCCAGGGAGGTTTGGAGTGCCCAGCCCTGGAGGTGTCCAAGGCAGGCCTGGCCGTGGCACTCAGTGCTCTGGGCTGGGGGACAGGGTGGGGATGGGGCACAGGGGGATCCATGGGCTGGGAGGGCTTTTCCAACCCAAATGATTCTGGGATTCTGCTTTCCCTTGCCAGTGAGTCAGCCTCAAAGTTTGCTTGTAGATTTTCTACTCTCACACAAACACACTCACAAGGATCTCGCTGTGGTAGCTTTTGTGTTCTCCAGCTCCAATCCTGCAAACCAGATGTCAGATTCCATGGAGCACCTGCACCTTTTTCACTGGGCACCTTGAACCAGAATCACACAATGGGTAGGGTTGGAAGGGCCCACAGTGGGCTCATCTGGTCCCACCTCCCTGCTCCAGCAGGGCCATCCCAGAGCACATGGCACAGGATTGTGCCCAGATGGTCTGGAATATCCCCAGGGAGAATATTCCACACCCTCTCTGGTCTCTGTTCAGTGCTGGGTCACTGCCCAGCAAAGAAGTTCTTCCTCCTGTGCAGGTGGAACTTGCTGGGCATCAGTTCCTGCCCCTTCCTCTTGTGCCATTGCTGGGCCCCCCCGAGCAGAGCCTGGTCCATCCTCTGCCCCCTCCCTGCAGACCCCACAGACCTGGGGGAGGTCCCCTCTCAGTGTGTGCTCTGGAGGCTGAACAGCCCCAGCTCCCTCAGCCTTTCCTGCTCCCAGAGATGCTCCATCCCTTTGGAATCTCCACGGGAGAATCATCTTCCAGCAGCTCCCTGTGCCTGCTGTGCTGGTGTGAGGTCATCCCTATTGAAGCCATGAACTTCACTGATGTTCCCAATGTCCAGATCCATTCTTCACTCATGAGATCATGTTTCAGCAACAGCAATCTGTACTCTGTGGCTTCCTCCCATCAAATGGTGCAAGTTTGTATCTAAAACTCTACATGAGGTGTGTCAGCTCATTCCAGTGCCTGTTTTTCCCCATAAGGATCTCATTTGCATTAGGGAGATAAATGGGAAATTCAAATACTCAGGAAGTGTTTCTTTCTCCTCTTTTCTAAATCCATTTTTTGTGGTTGTATCTTCAGACCTTTAAACTTGGGACTTCATATATTCTAGAGAGGGAGTTGGTTTCCAGGTGGTGGTGTGAGGCTCAAACCAGTGCAGGTGTGTGGCCAAGACAGGCTAACTGGGTGATGGATGCACAAAAACCAGGAATACAACTGAGCAGTTAAATCACAGCAAGACTCCAGCTGATGACAGTGGAAACTTTATGGGGAGTTAGGAGGAAACACACACTGCAACAAAGCTGAGAATTCTGCTGCTTCCCTGATTCTCCTCTTCACAGATGTACCAGATGAGTTCTCTTTCTTGTCCTTATATAGCTGAGTTCTGCCAAACTGTATTTTCAGTAAAAAATAAAGAGACAGAACTATTTATGGAATGTTATGGGGAATAATTAACATTAAAGATAATAGTAACTTCCTCTTAGCAGAAAATATGTGTGTACCTGAGCTACAAAAAGTACTAAAACATTCCTGGAGGTTATCCATTAAGATATTTGTTTAAAAATAGCTTACCAAGATGGTTTTGGAAGTCAGTGAAACAGGTAATAACGTTGCATATGGAGGCCAGAAGGTCTGGGCATGACCAGCTCTGTACACTCAGTTTATTCCAAACCCACTGAACTGTCTTGTTTCCCCACTCTGTTATTATTTTGGGGAGTATCTTCCTTTATCTACACTCCAAAGGACACTTTTCCTTCCCTTTACCAACAGGGACTGGTATTATCTGTTCAAAAACAAGGTGACTGCCTTGTGAAGGGTGGTAAAACCAGAATTTTGGAGATACAATCGTGTTGACTTGTCCAACTTTCCCAGGGAATTCTAACACGAAGGTGAAATAAATCCTGAGGGCAGACACGGAGTGGGGAAGTAGAAGGGCTGAGGCTGAGACATAAACACCTCTGTGAGCCCATGGAGGGGAATTTTATGGCCAGCTTGGAAATCTCCAGCAATAAATAAGCAGCGTGGTTTGTCCTTTCAGAATACGAAATCGAGAGATCATTTTTCCTGAGAATGAAGTGTGTCCTAGCCAAGAGGAATGCAGGATTGACATGCAGTGGATACAAGGTAATGTACACCAACTTTTTGTTCCACCCCTCGACTGTTCAACAATTGACAAGTTTATTTATTTAGGTGGGTTTTTTTTTTTTTTTTTTTACACACGTGCAGCTGAGAGCAAAATCTGTGATTGAAAAGAATCAGTAAAGGTCCAAAAAATGCCACTCCTGATGGCAGTTCCCCTCAGTAATGCAGGTCTAAACCCTCTCCCAGTGAGCTGCAGTTTCCTTTGTGGCACATTCCCACATCCCTGCTCTTCCAGGCTGGGGGAATTAACTGGAGCCCAGCCACGGAGCTGCAAGGAGGGCACACAGCTGGGCCTTATTCCCCTGTGGAACTGGGGGCAGGTGAGGCAGGAACCCAGACACAGGAATTTGGAACTTTTCCACCTCCCTCAGCCTCTGGCTGAGCAGCCACCCAGTTGCACAGGTCACCTCGTTGGCCTCCAGGTGAATGTTATTCCAACCAACCACTGCCATCACCCCCGGGGTTGAATTGTACTAAACCACTAAGGCTGTTTATAAATCTCGCTGTTTGCATTATTTTTTTCTCTTCATGACATGAAATCAGAAGCCCCAGCAAATGCTGAGGTTTTAGGGAAGCAGCTGCCACTCAGGTAGTTTTCATTTTCAGCTTTGCAGGGTGAATTTGCTGCTCTTTGAGCCACACAGAATAGTTCTGTCCCCACCAGGGAGGGTAGCTCACAGACAGCCTGGTGAGCATTCCTTTTTGTTTGAGTTGTTCAAAACCCTAAAAGAAAAGCTTGCAGGAGAAGCAGAGCTCCTTAAAGGAATGTGTTCAAAGTGCAGCCGTGGATCTGTTTATTTGCCTACCTGGTTGGACTGATAATTCTTCATTACACGAACCCTGTTTGCTCAGCTGCTTCCCAGCAAAAATGATCCTGTCCCAGAGCTGAATGTGAAATCAGGTAAAAGGGCAGAGCTTGCAGTGGTGGTATCTCTGTATTTTAATTCCCATTTATGACTTCTCGTCGGAGACATCACCTCCTTTTGCTCTCCATTAAAAGTTTGCACAGTGAAACATTAGAGGGTTCATTTATCTGGAGAGTTGTTGGCCTAAATTTATTCCCTTTGACTGTACTTAGAGTCAGGACTTAATTTTTTAAAAAAATCACCTTATTAGGTGAAGCACAGGAAAAACTCGTGGACTGAGTGATCTGGGAATTCAGATCTTCTGAGAGATCTTAAATAAGGTTTTCCTGTTACTTGTATTTTTACTAAATATATTAATCACTTAGTGCTTGGAGAGGAGGAAGGAAGGTTATACAGGAGGAGCCTGTTTACAGGTTTAGTGGGTTGTTCAGGAATAATAAAGACAGTGAAAATTAATTTCTTTCCCTTGGACACAGTTAAAAGTCAAGGAAATAGATGAATTAAGCTAGAGGATCTGTGTGTGCCTGATGCTTGCAGCAGAAAATTGCCAGGAGCACCAATGACTTCCAAACACCAGCACTACATTAACTGAATCTTACGTTCTGGAATAGTCCCCAGGTTACATTTCCCCCTCCTCTTTAGCTGACATTGTGAATTTTTACAGCCTAACACCGACATTATCACCTCTGTGATTAGGAATTGCACACAGGGATTCTGAAACCTGATCTCAGGGCTCGGGCATGTGTCAGAAGAATATCATCTGGACTTGACCAGAGAACTTAAAACTCATTTCTTGTTCATTTACATAAACAGTCTTATTAATGGGATGCATTAGTATCCACTGGATTTTTAAAGTGTCTGCTTTTCATGAGAATAACTCCTCAGAATGTAAATGTTTTTATACACCTCTCTGTGTGTGAGAGATGGTCATTTCAAAAAAAGCAGCTTCCAGATTTTTTTATCAATGAACAGGAGCTCTGCCTGTATCTACAAGAAAGCATTAACTAGAAAGCAATTAGATAGTCCCCAAAGAGCATGTGCTTTATTCCTGGATTAATCATGTGGGCACAACACAGAGATTTTGTGTTTACTGTGTTTGGATCTCCATTTACAAATTACCGTAACCCTGAAGCTTTAACAGAGTAAGCAGAATTTAGTGTTTTAAGGGTGTGTGGCTTCATGAAATCATTGAAAACGAGCTGCTGGCTGCCTTGCCATCAGAAATTGAGTTTTCCTCCCGTTCCAGGTGATCCACTGCAGTGGCTACTTGAAGATCCGCCAGTACATGCTCGACATGTCCCTGTACGACTCCTGCTACCAAATCGTGGGGCTGGTGGCTGTGGGCCAGTCTTTGCCTCCCAGTGCAATCACTGAGATCAAACTCCACAGCAACATGTTTATGTTCAGAGCAAGCTTGGACTTAAAGCTGATATTCCTGGATTCCAGGTAAGCAGCGCTTCGGTTTCGAGCATCGAAATGTTTTCCGAGGTCGAGCGTTAACGGCGGTTTCCAAACACATCAAAACGCCCCACGAAAAAATAAAGCAGGCCAAAATAGATCTGGAACTCGAAGGCCATGGGAGCCTTCAAAGCCTTTCAGGCAGCTGGATAGACCATGCTTTGTCCTCGAATGCCAAGAAATAGGAGCCTGGACAGTTTAACCTGGAGTTACCTACGGTTTCAGGGAGTCTGAAGCCTTCTCGCAGTGAGTTTTCGTCACATGAACAGTGAGACATTTTTAACTCAAAGGACATAAATTTTAACATACAGAGCTGGCAAAAGGAATGAGGGTGTACTGAAAAATAACACAAAACCTACCCCACAACTGGAACACTGAGATCAACTGACTTACTGGGGTCACCCAGAAAGCTCTTGACAGAGTAGTAAGAAAAGAGAGTCTTCTGCACTTTGTTGTAGTGCCTTAACCATGAAACCGGTGCTCTTGATGTTGGCATGAAAATTAATTCCATTTTCTACTGCGTGGAAACACGACCTTCTCAGACAAAACATGGGGAAAACAGCTATTGCTGAGGAAAGACAACCCTGCCTTCACTCTCAGCTGGTGGGAGTTGACTCACCAGCTAAGAAGAACCAGAACTAAAATGACTGATTTCTCTGGTTTTGAAGCAGAGCAACTTGTAACACACAGTGGTACTTTGTACAGTGCAGTTCAACATACCTGGAGGGGAAAAGCCCAGTACACACAGTATTGACAAGATGATTATCCTCCAAAAATCCCTGCCTGTGGGATTTGTGTGTGGGATATGCGTCCCATTCTCCCCTGGAATGCCGGATTGGATGCATGTGTAGTAGTGACAAAGAGTCTGCATCCAAGACAGTGGGGAAGTTTGGCATGGCAGGCCAACCATGCAGGGACATGCTCCTTCTCCGTGCCCAGTCCACGGGACAGTGGGCCATCAGCTGCCAAAACACAAAGAACTTTTTGTTTCTGGGATGATTCCTCTTTTTTTGGCGCACGTTACTTCATGGAACAGCTACGAGGAAGCACGAGGGGGGTTTAGCAACGTGCCTTTGCATGTGGAATAGAAAACAAAAAAAAAAAGGAAATGATGTGCCTGAGAGGAACTGCCTGGAGACAGAAGTGTCTTCAAAGGAGGCAGAATAACCAGAGGTGTTGACAGGAGCGTGGAGAGACCCCGAGCTGTGTTTACCGAAGAGCAGATGGGTGTCATCCACACACGGGGCCAGCAGGGGTACTGAGCATTGCCAAAGCCTCCTGCTCTCCCAGCTGAGCAAACCAAACTCTGTTTGCTCAGAGCAGGGACACACTGGGGATAAGACTGAACTGTTTTCAGGCTTGGTTCTGGTATCCACGCACGGGGAAGCGTTGCTGGATCTTCTGAGGTGACAGTCACGGCAGAGAGTGTGAAAGCCACGGGAAGGAGCAGCTCAGCAACCTTTTCTAGATGTTGATACAACATAAAACACCCAAGAGTCCATTCATTGAGGCATCTGGAAAAAGGAGACAGTCACTTCCCTCCAAAGTGAGCTGCTCCTTCTGATTTTCGTGGTGCAGCTTCTGCATTCACAGAATCCCAGAACATGCCGAGCTGGGAGGGACCCACAAGGATCATGGAGTCCAACTCTTAACCCTGCACAGGACCAGCCCCAAGAGTCACACCATGTGCCTGAGAGGATCACAGTTATGTGGTTTACTAAGGCTTTAAAGACTTCTAGAGGCCAAAACTGATCCTTGGGGCAAACCCTCCTTGCCTCTGCATGCAGAGAGAACAACCCTGAGAGCCCAGGCTCCCTACAGCAACTCGTTGAGGGTTTGATTTTACGTTGAGGAAATAAAACAGGTGAATTTGTACCCAGACCCAAACTTTTTAAAACTTCACAGCGAGACAGGACCTTTGGAGAAATGAACACCTGGCTTAGGTTGGTGGTGCCTCGTCTGGGTTTGGATGAGCTGTTTCTGAGCTCACCAAGCCGCCCTTGTTTCCATCGCACCGGAGTCAGAAAGGGCACCGAGACCTGAGCAGGATCTTTCACCAGCACTTCGTGGTGCTGATAGGATTGAGTGAGAATTTGGGACCAGAATACACCACAGAGGAGGAACACAAGCAAAAATTCCCATGTCCTCCTGCAGAAAGAGGCCACGTGAGCTCACTCCTCACAGGCTGGTTCTTTAACATCTGCAGAGATGTTGCTGTTTCAAACTCCTTCCATTTTTCTACTTCTCATCACGTGAGGATGTTTTTTGCTGAAGTTGAGCTCCAGCCTCGCTTCCCTTGCCTCGTGGTCTTCGCACCTCCTTGTGTTTCCACGTTCTCAGCCGGGATAATCTCCTGCTTCCTTCTTCTGTTTGATAGCCTGAATTCATTCACAGACCCTGCTCACAGCTCCTATGGACTAACACAAGTGCCACACTTGTGTGTTTGCAAAAGCAGATGGAAATGTCTCAGCAGGCCACCAGAGTGGTTTTACCGCTTCATGAACAGCTCCTCGACCGGAGCTCTGTGCGAAGGGCTCTCTCGTGGCAGTGGCAAAAGCTCAAGGTGGAAATAAGCAAAAGAGCTCTTTTTCCTGCCTGTGTGTACCAGGGAGTAGCTGCACCTTGCTCTGGCAGTGCTGAGAGGGTTTATTTTCTTAGAAAGGTGAGGATTCCGTTTCCAAAACTAACATTTTGTCCTGCAGCTTTCAGGCACCTGATTTGTCGGTACAATCAAACGTTGGGTTCATGAAATTGAATATTCCTAGAGGGTTTTTTTTTTGGTGATTGTTTATTATGGATTGTTCCTTTTCCAGGGTCACTGAATTAACTGGATATGAACCCCAAGATCTGATAGAAAAAACCCTCTACCACCATGTCCACGGCTGCGACGTGTTCCACCTGCGATACGCTCATCATCTCTGTAAGTCCAGGGAGTGGGGGCTGGAAGCACAGCAAGGACTTGGACCTGCTGGGGCAAGTCCAGAGGAGGCACCAAGAGGATCCCAGGGCTGGAGCAGCTCTGCTGGGAGGAAAGGCTGGCACAGCTGGGATTGTTCAGCTGGACAAGAGAAGCTTTGGGGGGACCTGAGTGTGGCCTTGCAGGGCCTGAAGGGGCTCCAGGAAAGATGGAGAGAGACTATTTCCAAGGGATGGAGGGACAGGACAAGGGGGAATGTCTTCAAACTGCCAGAGGGCAGGGATAGATGGGATATTGGGAGAAATTCTTCCCTGTGAGGGTGGGCAGGCCCTGGCACAGGTTGCCCAGAGAAGCTGTGGCTGCCCCTGGATCCCTGGAAGTGTCCAAGGCCAGGTTGGAGCAACCCTGGGCTGGTGGAAGGTGTCCCTGCCCATGGCAGGGGGTGGGATGAGATGATCTTTAAGGTCCCTTCCAACCCAAACTGTTCTGTGATTCCATCTTTCTATGAAAAACATGGAGTAGAGTGAGAAGTTCTGCTGACAACAAGCACTGTGATGGAAAGCAGAAAAAAACTTTCCAAATCTTGATTGGAGACAGATTTTCAAAAGTACTTGGCTATCACTTCAGGAAACCATTAATTCTGCAAATAAGCTCAATATTCAATCTGCCCTGCTTCCGAAAAAAATACTTATCTGGCCAGTTTTATCTTTGTACTTAGGAGGTCTGGGTTCTTTTGAAAATTTGGACTTGGTTCTGCATGGCTGAAGGAAAAAAAACACCAGAAGAGCAAGTGAGTGAGTGAGAGGGCAAAATCTGAACTTTACTAGCTTCTGTTGTTAAAATAAAAACTCTGCAACAGCTCCCCATCCCTCTGAAATATGTTAGTAATAATCATCTCGTGTTTGAAGTGAATGCAAACCCAAAAAAAGTCCTCAGAGGAACATTCATTATTAGCATGTGGATGAGGTTTGGGGAATGGATTGTCAGGAAAAAAAAAAAAAAAAGGCATTTAATAATTTTCCCATCTTCCAACAGAGACACCACTCATATCTTCAAACATCTGGATCTGGGAATTAGTTCATTCAGTAGCACATTAATTTGAAAAGCAAATTGAGGGAATAGCTGAACTCTGGATTTGGCTCAGTCTGCTGCAAGCCATACGATGCAAAGATGACATCCAAAAAACCAATGGCAGTGAATTTTTTTCCAGATTGCTCCCGTAGGCTGGGAGCAGCCAGAGTCAAACCCTTCTTTGGGGCTTCCTGGAGGAGAAGCCAGTCAGTTCTCCCTGTTAATATCTGCTGTCCATGGGGATCTGGAATATAAAGGATGTTGTAAGGGTGTTTGGCAAGTCAGCACTGAAATTCCAGTTCCACTGGTGGCAGGGAAAGCTCCAGCTGATCTTTCCAGCGAGGTCATATTTACCAAAAACGCTATTGAATACTCTGGGCCATTGGAAAGTGAGAACTAGAATGACCAGGGTACCTGGGGAAGTCCTGTCAGGGCATCATCCTCTTCGCAGTGTCACCATCTGCGTCTGGAGGTACCTCTTGACCAGCACAAAACATCCCTCCTTGTCTTCACAAGACTATTTGAAATGCCTTTTATCAACCAGCGTGGAGAGGACCCCACTGTAGCCACAATCACCTCTGAAAAACCAGTTTTCCACTTCAGAGCAGAGTGATGGATAATTCTGCGTGCCTGGTAGATTTGTACTTTGGCTGCCAGTTTGATCTATGCATGCCTGGAGTTTGATATAAAGGCACAAATCATTCCTGAATTACCCACCACATCCTCCACAAGGGGAAAAAAAACCCAACCAAACCAACACACACAACCTCAACCAAACAGAACACTGAGAGCAGTTCTGTAGATTAAATATAAGTTACCGTAAAGTTTAAAACCAGAAGAAAAATGTGAGTCGTGCACAGGAATTCGTGGAAGTTTCTGAGCAAATGAATCCCAAGAAGCAAAGAACAATGACAAATTCTTGGGCAACAGCGCAGGATCATTGTTAGAATACCAAGTAATGGGAATTATTAAAACAGATGTAAAGTGCACAAACTCCCTCTGGGGAGCGTGGTCAGAGCTCCCCCACCATCCATCAGTAAATGTCTTAGGAACATGAACAGCAAAAGGTTGGCAGGCTTGAGGTACCGTTCTCCCAAGCAACCTGATGATGAAGTGTCATCTGATGGAGAAAGCCAAAGAGAAACATCTTACACCTAATAAGGGTATTAAGAAAAGAAAAAGTAACCCTAAACTGGGGCGATCATTTGCTTTTTCAGAGAGGGAAAAAAAAAATATATTTTATATATATATATATATACCTCAAACTGCAGACCTAAAGCAACTGAACTCTAAGGCAGGCAGCACAGAGAATAAAACAAAGGGAACAGTGAGGAGAACAAGTTAGAAGGGATGTAACAAGAACATCAAGCTGAAAGTGGAGAGGTGGATATTTGCCTAAGGTGTGCTGGCAGCAAACAGGGTTTCCTGTTTTAAACTCCTGATTGGCTTCCAGCTACGTGAAAACACTTGTGGCCTTTGAACTGGTGTTATTTATTTCTGCCTCGTTAATACACACAGTGTTCCCTGCTACCAGGGCAGTGTGGCCACACAAATAACGAGGATCTTGCTTCCTAAAACACGGGATGGAGAGGCTGTTCCAGCCCAGACAAAATATCTTTGTGCCCTCAGAGAAATCACCTCACTTGTGTCTCTGAGGGGGGATTCTGTGCATCCCACATGCTGTGACATCATTGCTCTTCCCACATAATTCACATCTCTGCCCCTTGGCAGGGCATCTGCCCCAGCTGAGGTCATCGCCAAACGATTCTCCTGCTTCCTGGAAGCCAAACTTGGTATTTATGGAACTCCTGTTGTAGCAGAGCACAGTTTCACTGCCTCTGGGTCTCCTCTGGCTCCCTCAGCCACCAAACCTCCTGGCCAGAGCAGCGCTGGGTTTTAAGAGGTCCAAAGAACTGCAGAGTCTGCTGGGCACCATCCCCTGCCCACGCTGCCCGAGGGGAGATAAAACAGGAGCTGCTCCCAGCGTGGAACCAAGCAATCCATTTCTCTTGGTAGCATCCTGAAGTGCAGGCCGGGAACTCCCAGCCACAAGACCGGGAGCCCGACGGAGCCTTTTAAAACAGTCCTCTCTGACAGACCAGAAGGACCAGCCCAGCCAGCCCAGTGCCTTTTTCAGCTCCTCTGCTAAAGCAGGAGCTGGAGCCACAAGAGTGGAACACCCAGTTCCAGATGGCACATCCCGGAGCCAGGGCCGAAGCCACGGAATCCTCCCTGCTGGATCGCAGAGGAGGCCACCAAGGAGTCTGAGCCTGCACAGATCGAGCTGGTGGTGGATTGACCTCGCTCCCGTTGCTGAGGTTTCCCGTTCAGCATCAAACAGGGCAATTTAACGCAGAGCCAGATGGAAGATGACCTCATTTACTGTCTCACAACCACAGCTACTGTCCCCCAGCCAAGGCCAGACTTTCCCCAGATTGCTAAAAATGCAGGAGACACGGAGTTCCTCCCCCATCCCAGGAGAAATATTGGTTTATCCATGTAATTAGGAAGGAAAGCTGAGCACTGTAGTCCTCAGTGGTTTTCACATCTTTTAAAACACTGTCTTAACTGCAGAGCTAAGAGCAGGGATTTAAAAAAAAAAGTATCAGCGAGAGAGAAAAGAAGCCAAAACTAGTCCCAAAGCACAGGAGAGGGCTTTGTTATAACTAGTGATCCATGACAGCATTAATTTCTCTTTCAGAAGACTGAGTAGCGAGGAATCTGAACTCAAGGAAAACGTGCCCATTAAACTAGCACAAAGACTTAGTTCTGAAAAGCCTCGACCACACTCCAAAAACTATCTGTTAGATGATCTGGGATAACGTGTAAGCATCATTTCCTGGAATGGGACCATTTGGATTATAGAAGGAATCACAAAATCATAGAATCACAGAATGGCTTGGACTGGAAGGGACCTTAGAGATCATCTTGTTCCAACCCTCCAACCTTCCACTGTCCCAGGTTGCTCCAAGCCCCGTCCAACCTGGCCTTGGACACTTCCAGGGATGGGACAACTACAGAACATCATCCACAATTACAGAAAAACAAGAAATAGTGAATCCATGGCACATAGCTGATTATTAACATATCTGTTTTAGAACATATATGGTCTATGAACATGTATGTTGTGACTTGTGGAGATGGATGGGAGAGTCAGGAGTCCAAAGAGATGGTTTATGTACTCCAGACTTTGGGGAGACCTCACTGAGGCTTTCCAGCACCTTAAGGGGCTTATAAAAAGGAGGGAGAAGGGAATTTTTGTCTGGGCAAATGACAGAACAAGAGGCAATGATTTTAAACTGAGGGAGGGTAGCGGTTGGATTAGATATTGAGAAGAAATTCTTGGCTGTGAGGGTGGGCAGGCCCTGGCACAGGTTGCCCAGAGAAGCTGTGGCTGTCCCTGGATCCCTGGAAGTGTCCAAGGCCAGGTTGGATGGGATTCCATCACTGTCCATGTCAGGGGGTTGGAACTGAATGATCTTTAAGGTCCCTTCCAACCCCAACCATCTATAATTCTATAACTGACCTTTCAGCAAGAACAAGAACCACTTGCTCTTCTATTTCTGTCAGTCTTACATCAGAATATCCACATTATTCACATTATTGTGGTTCCTGCTTGATATTGAAATTACAAACTCCCTCATCTAACACCTGAACAAAAACAGCCAACCAATGACTAATAGTAGCATAATTAATTACCAAACTGTAATCAACCCCCCCATATTATCTCTTTAACTCTTATTAACTCTTCAGTTCCCAATTTAATATTAAATGCTCTCTCTAACAGAAAAACCCTCGATGAATACTAATTGTAAGGCCAAATATTTTCATTTTTAGTGGTAATTTGCTCTCCTGGAGTTGTCTGAAAGAGAAAGCTGCTCTTCAGTTTCCTTACCACTTCTCTGCTTCTGCACCAAACACGTACAAGGAGAGCACAAAACGACAGTGAGCTTTGCTATTATGTTCAGTCCAGTCCAAGCCCTGCATCTGCAAGCAGTAATTCCATTTCTTAGTCATTTATTCTATAAGGGAATTGTTGATGTTGGTCATTTTTTTTGAACACAGTCCATGGTTTCCTAATTTGCAATAAATAACTGATTGTACAGAAGGGAAAGAAGATGGAGTTTCCTGAAGGAATCACCCAGAGCCACACAAGAAAAGAACCACCTTAGAAGGGCTGGGCATCATCTTCTGGTGAATCATTAGACAAATGCCTGGCACTGGGCCAGAAATATTTGTGGCTGGATGGAATATTTAGAGATGCTGCACAACTCCTGTTATAGCACAGCCTCGTGTCAAAACATCCTTGCCCACAGAGGGTCCAAAATAGTTTAGAGAGGATTACACGTGTAGTGAAATATATCAGATTCACCTCTCTGTCTTTTTGTCTTTATTTGGCTGCTTCACAGCCAATTAACATTTTAATTTTAGCCTTTTAAGTCACCCTTCAAGATGCTGGGCTCACAGAGGAAGGAAAAAAACCAATCATAGAGTAAAATACATTTTAAAACACACAATATTCTATCAAGCTATGAATGACAGCAGTGCTTCCAAATATACTGGGAAAAAACCAAAAAAATCACAGAATCCCAGGATCATCAAGGCTGGAAGAGACCTTCAGGATCATCCAGTCCTACCATCACCCAGCACCACCAAAACACCCCTAAACCTTGTCCCCAAGGGGCACATCCAGACACCTCTGGGACACTCCCACACACAGGGACTCCACCACCTCCCTGGGACACTTCTTGCAAGGCCTGACCACTCTTGAAGGGAATTTTTTTTCCCCCCTAACATCTCATCTGAGCCTCCCCTGATGCAACTTTAAGGCCGTTTCCTCTGCTCCTTCCAAACTTGCAGTGTCCCCCTCAAAACACTTCTGCTGCCTTGAGCTTTTGTTTTCCTGGAAGAGAAGGAAGGCGAACCTTAGGAGTTTTCAACATATTATCTGTAAATAATAACGTGGCATTGTGGGTCTACATGAAGGGGCTGCACAGATCCATTTGCAGGGGGTGTGGTGGGAGGAGGAGGGAAGCGAAGGAAGAAGAATTTGTGAATAAATCTTTCCAGGAAGTGCTCGCAAGCCCAAGAAATGGGAAATTTTTGTTTTAATTTATTTTTTTTAATTTTTTTTTAATTATTATTATTATTGTATTTCCAGTGTTGGTGAAAGGCCAAGTCACAACCAAGTACTACAGGCTGCTGTCCAAGCACGGAGGCTGGGTGTGGGTGCAGAGCTACGCCACCATCGTGCACAACAGCCGTTCGTCACGGCCTCACTGCATAGTGAGTGTCAATTATGTCCTTACGTAAGTCCAAATACTTTGTACCATTACACGTTGTCAGTAATTGATTCGCCACTGGTTCAGCGCTTGTGGTTTTCTTTGCGCCTTGCCGGTGCCTTCCCGATCTTGCCTGTTCCAGCCCCTTTCCCTGTTCAAATCCTCCCTTTTTTGGGTGTGGCCAGCTGAGAAGGGTTGATGTTCCTCGTTGTGTAAATCCTCACGGCGTGCAGGGAAGGGCGGTGGAGCTGGGGATGGGTCAAGAAAACGTCTCATGATGGAGCTGGGGGGGTTTATCTGGAGCAGAGGAGGCTCAGGGGGGACCTCATTGCTCTCTGCAACTCCCTGACAGGAGGGGGCAGGGAGGGGGGGTCGGGCTCTGCTGCCACATCCCAAGGGAAAGGAGGAGAGGGAATGGCCTTAAACTGCCCCAGGGCAGGGTCAGATTAGAGATTGGAATTAATTTTTTCTCTGACAGAGTAATCAGGCATTGAACAGAGTTGCCCAGGTTGCTGGTGGAGTCGCTACTTCTGGAAGTGTCCCAGGAGGTGTCTGGATGTGGCCCTTGGGGACATGGACTAGGGGTGGTTGTGGTGGTGCTGGGTGAGGGTGGCACTGGATGATCCTGAAAGTCTTTTCCAGCCCTGATGATCCTGTGATTCTGTGACCAGAAGGTAAAAAGCATTGCAGCTCACCTGGTGTAGAAGCACATGGTGCTGGCAGGAGAGGAACGTTGCTCATTTTCCTTTCCTCAGGGCTGACTGTGAGACCAGAGACCAACTCCTGACTGAGCAGGAGGCAGATTAATTGATCTTTGTCTCTCTACCCACTGACCTGGCTGTGATTCCAAACCTCAGGGTACCCGTGGGGGGCTGAGAGAAGTTGGCACAGCCTGGGTTCAGAAACAAAGATGTTAACCTGGTTCTCAGTGTTTTGATTTTGTCAGAATGTTTGCGATAGTCTGGGGTGGGGATGGGGTCACACCCTAAGATTCCCTGCCTGCTGACATCCCCAGACTCAGGAGAAATCTTGGGAGAATGAAAATTAAGACACTGTGAAATCCAATACGTGTTTTCACAGGAGCTCTTTTGGATTTGTGTGGCCAATTTTGGATTTGTTTGAGGATGTAATTCGTTGGACTGTTCTCTTGCAGAGATATTGAGTACAAGGAACTTCAGCTGTCACTGGACCAGGTTACCATTTCCAAGTCACAGTTTTCATGCAGAAACTCAGCACCTACCTCGCAGGAAACAAGGAAAATAGTCAAACCCAAAAGTAATAAAATGAAGGCAAAACTCAGAACCACACCTTACCCACAACAGGTAATTTTTCAGCAATATTTGTTTACCAATTTTTGTCATAGTGGGCTTGGAGCAGGATAAAGGTCATCCAGGACTGAATTTACTGTACCACTGACATGTTCTGCCTCAGGAAATCTCTCATAAACCAGATTAGAATCACATCCTTTTGTTCTTGGGGTGGATAGCACAGGCAGTACAAACCAACCCTGGCAAGTGATGTAAAAGCTTTTAGATATGACCTATGTAAAGCACTGAAAAAACCAGTGTCTTTTCCTGCAGAAAAAGGACAAAAATCTGTACTAAGTATAGCAGTGTTGTGAAATTTGTGCTGGTGTAGAATGTGTCTGTGGAGTCCTTGATGTCACACAGTTCACTACACTCCCAACAGTGAGATCCCAAAAAGCATTAGGAGGCTGGACAGGAGGGTGAGGGAGACAGAGGGAAGAGAAATAAAAGGAGGCTCAGGGGGGACCTTCTGGCTCTGCAATCCCTGACAGGAGGGGGGAGCCGGGGGGGGTCGGGCTCTGCTCCCAGGGAACAGGGACAGGAGGAGAGGGAACGGCCTCCAGCTGTGCCAGGGGAGGCTCAGGTTGGCCAGGAGGAGGAATTTGTTGCTGGCAAGGGTGGTCAGGCCTTGGCAGGGGCTGCCCAGGGAGGTTTGGAGTGCCCAGCCCTGGAGGTGTCCAAGGAATGATTGGATGTGGCACTCAGTGCTCTGGGCTGGGGACAAGGTGGGGATGGGGCACAGGGGGGACTCCATGACCTTGGAGCTCTTTTCACAACCTAAACAATTCTGGGATTCTGTGAAATCAAGCTGCCAAAATTATCGAGTAAACACTTAACATTAGGAGGACAAAGCAGTTTTTTTTGTTCCCACATTAAGTGAAGGCAAAGTTATCCACGAGGACAAGGAACTTTACCCGCCCTGCCCAGTCAGTCCCTGCAGCCCCTGAGGTCGCAGGCGAAGGAGGCCCAGCCCTGGCTGCCTGTACGGTACATTCTACAGTTCCATATAAAAGTTACTCATTTAGCTCTCTTCCTCCCCCTTCCCCTTTTTTTTTTTTTCATTTTTTTCCTCTTTCCCCCAGCAATACAGCTCATTCCAAGCAGACAAACTGGAATGCAGCCAGGTGGGAAACTGGCGATCCAGCCCCGCCGTGAACGCCGCCGCCATTCAGGAACAAAACTTCCATTCAGAAAACAGCGAACTTTTATACGCCCCACCGTACAGCCTGCCTTTCTCCTACCATTATGGACACTTCCCCATGGATTCCCACGTCTTCAGTGGCAAAAAACAAATGCTGCCTGCCAAGTTCGGGCAGGCTCAAGGAGCACCCTGCGAAGTGGCGCGGTTCTTCCTGAGCACGCTGCAGGCGAACGGAGAGTGCCAGTGGCACTACACCAACCCCCTGGTACCCAGCAGCCAGTCACCCTCCAAAAACCTTCCTGAGCAGCCAGTGAACATCATCAGGCACAACCTTGCACAGAGTTACGAAGGTGGGTGTCGCTTTGAGGAAAGAGATTTGGGAACGATTTGTCTGGGAACGATTTGTGTTATGAAAGCAGGGGTTGCAAGGTGTTTGGGGAACACAGAAAATCAGAGACAGTGAAAGGTAACAAGCACCGTGTTTACAGTGTTCACACGTTGATCCTTCTTCCCATTACCATCAGCACTCGCTTGGGAATGTTATCAACACTCGCCTGGTGAGATGGATTCACCAGGATCACTTTTAGAACAGCACGGAGATGCCACCTCCTTCAACACTGGCACAGTTCACCCTCAGGCTTTGCACTCTCAGAGTTGTTTAGGGGAATTGCTCAGGTAAGTCGTTGCTGAAGTCAGATGGAACCAAAATGTACTTCAGCTCCCACGTAGGAATTCAAATAAACATGATCTATTTCCATAAAAATTGAAGGTTGTCCTTTCTGAGCACGAAGCCCTTCGGAAGGTTTTCACCTTACAGTTACCATAGGGCAATAATTCTGCTTTATTTAATAATGATTAAATAATAATTCTGAATTTGAAAATGTCTTCAGTGCTCTCCCTGCACAGATGGTCAGCTCAAATGCTCTGGAGGAAGCACTGAAGACATTTTCTCTGAGGTGGCAACCTGCAAAAATAACCTTGAAAAGTTATGAAGTAACCAAATGCAAAGCAGCTCAAAATACACTCTAATCACAGAATCACAGAAGGGACCTCTGGAGATCCTCTAGTCCAACCCATTAATTTTTTTCCCTGTATTCAACAATAATAGGGTTTATTGCAGTGGTTTTGGCAGAGCTCGATCTCTCATTATAAACACTCCTGGGCTCGCAGCTGGGCCAACTGGAAAATGAAAGCTGAGTCAAGCTGTGATGTTTTCTCCTCCAACATAAGCAAGGAACAATGTTAATCATCTAAAGAAACAAAAATAGTAGGACAAACCAGACTCTGACAATTTGGACTGTTTCAGGATGGTGTCAAAGCCTATCTTCAACTCAAGTCATGGCATCAAATACTCCCCTCATTCACCTTCCCCTCACACAACTCTGAATACAATTGCTGTCATGGAATAATTGTTTTCATGAGCGAGCCTCAAAACCAAGTTCTGCTGAGATTTCAGGTTGCTGCCTATTTTAGCAGAAATAGCCTTAGTTGGCCTAGATTCTCCCCCTACCCACCATGCTTTACTTTCAGTAACTGAGTGATTTGTACAAAAACCTTTTACAAAAAGATGCAAAGTAAAATTACATATAAACCCCCACCACATACTAGTTTAGACAGTCACATTAAAGAGGTTTTTTTTTGAGTTAAGCTGCATCTGAAACGGTCAGAGAACATCAGCAAGTGCAGAATTCAGATCAGCTCTGCAACAGAATGCACAGGGCTGGAAATCTGCTGAATTTAGAAGGATTCCTTTAGGCAGCACTCTGGTTTACCCCTTCCCAACCCAGAGCCAACCCTTAGATATCTCCTACATCCATTTTAATCAGGTTAAAATCACTGGTGAGGATTGACTGGTGGACATCTGTTATGAGGTGAGGTGGAAACACTCCTTTCTTCCTGCCTGGCGAGGTTGGGATGGAAGAAGAAGCAGTGAAAATTTAATATTAAAAAAAAAAAAAAAGAGAAAAGGTAGTCTCAAGACAGTTTTTTGAGTACCAGAAACAAGAATTTATTCCCTTGGGGACATGACATTAGATAGCCAAGATCCTGAAGTGAAAATCAGCAGATGTTAAGAGCTGAGCTTCCTACCCACACATTGAATGTGTCTCCCACAGAGGAGCAAAATAACTTCTGCCCAGGGCTTTGTCCTCCACAGGACTGTTTGACCTCACCCAGCTGATGGACCTCACCTCACTGACTGCAGCATTTCACTCCACTCTTCTGTGTTTAGGTGGGAAACGAGTGGGACTGAAGCTCCTCTTACAGCCAAGAACAGGTTAAATGCTTTTCCTGAGCTCATGCTCCTCTCATTCGCTGGTTTCCTTTGGTTGCTGTTGTGGATCTCGTGTGGGAGAAGGAGGAAGGAATTTTAGACCAAAAATAAGAGATGTTTTTGTCCTTAAAAAAAAAAAAAAAAAAAGAAAGAAAAAGAAAAAGCTGCGTTTTTTGAGGATAAGGATAAAGATTGAAGTAAATCCTGCAGGAAGTCTTCAGGAATAAAGCTACTCTAGGTGTGGAGAGATCAGCCCAGCTTTGCTTCTCTGCTTCCAGGCCAACACTGAGAATGGATGTGGAAAGAAGAGCCTGTTCAGAGAACAGACCCTAAAACTGGCCATAACATCTGCCAGCAAAGCCCAGTGAGCAGAGCAGCAGATGAGCAATTGATGTGGGCAGGTAGATCCTAGCAAATACATTCCATCAGAAGGATTCCACAGGAATACTGTTAAATATGTCAGGGTTAAAAAAAAAAAAAAAAAAAAAATCCCTCAGAAAAACCTGCAAGCAACTCCTGGCATTTTTCAGCCTCGTCACACTTTCCTCCTGGTGAGGAAAATGGAGCTGCAATACCAGTGGTTCTTCTTTCTGGTTCTACTTCTAACTTAAGGTTTTCTTGCTGAAGCTGGAATATGTGGGTTCTTTTTTGAGCACAGATTTATTTTAGCAGATATTTATCAGGCATTTGATGAAAACTGACTTGGTACAACTAATTCCCTGTGAAAGCACTGACAGTTGGGCTGTTTAGGAGGGAAAAAAATAAGAATACGGGCAAAGATGGGCCCGGTCTGAGATCATGGCTTGACACACAGTGTTGTAAGAAGGAAAAGAGAAACAGAGGCTCCACTGCAGACAGGATTTATATCTAATTGTTCCAGCCTTGTTTCCTCCTCAAGCTGAGTCAGTGCTGCTGCACTTCTGAGCTGGTGGCAGAAGCGAAATCTGAACCTTTGGGAGCCACTTTTTTTTTTTTTTTGCTGTAAATCGGGACATCTGATCTTCCTTACGCTGTCAACTGCTGCTTTTTCCAGTGGCTCCCTGAAAAAAAAACCCAAAAAACATCAACCAGAGAGCTTCAAAGCAGGGAGGATCTGCTCAGCATCATTATCATCTCCCTCCCATCCATCCAGAGGCGATGCCAAATATGACATCTGGCGACCGGGTTGGATGCGAGGGGCTATTCCACATCACACCCACGGGGAGCGCCTGCCAAAAACGCCGTGGGCCAAAGGCATTTTTTTTTTCTCCACGGAAAAATAGCTCCTTTTGGAGGGATCAGAGATTTGGAGACGACCATGCCAAGCCATGCGAGCTCCGAAAAGGCACGTAGCAGATGCAAGTGCCTGCGAATCAGATGTTTCTGCCTCAGAATCTGGTTTTGAAGCTTCTTCCACTTCTTTTTTTTTTTTTTTTTTTTAATTCCAGCTGGCCTAGTCATCAGAAAAGAAGCTCGTTTCAGTGAAGGCAACCATATTCTCAGTGAGGGGAAGTTTCCTTTGTACACTCAAATGGATAAATTGCTACTGTGGATACCACAGGACCCACTTCTCCTGCAGTTTGTGCTGTTGGCCAGCCTGTGCTGTCTGTGGGAGGCTCAGTTGCTACTCATCATATCCAAACTCAGGGAATTATGAAGAACCCTGAGAAAGCCCATGAAAAAAAAAAAACCTCTGGTTGATCTTCCTCCTGAAAGAAATAAATGGCATTTTTGCAAAGTGTACTCCACCAGAGACAAAGAGGTCTGGAAGATCACGTTGTCTTATCTTTGGTTTTGGAGGGGGAATAATAGAGAACATCAATCCCTGCTTTGGATGACTTGCAAGTAGGATTTAGACCAGGACACAGCACAGATATTGAGTTAATATAAAAAGTGTATTTTTCATGGGCATGGACAGGATGAGGACCTGTTGTATCTTTGCTTTGTTTGACACAGAGGGATAAAAAAGAGGGAGAGGGACTTTTTAGATGGGCAGATGAAGACAGAACAAGGGGCAATGGTTTTAAACTGAGAGAGGGTAGGGTTGGATTAGATATTGAGAAGAAATTCTCGACTGTGAGGGTGGGCAGGCCCTGGCACAGGTTGGCCAAAGAAGCTGTGGCTGCCCCTGGATTCCTGGAAGTGTCCAAGGCCAGGTTGGATGGGGCTTGGAGCAACCTGGGCTAGTGGAAGGTGTCCCTGCCCATGGCAGGGGGTGGCACTGGATGATCTTTAAGGTCCCTTCCTACCCAAATCATTCCATGATTCTATGATAGAGAACCTCAGGTGTGCAGTGTATGCACCTCACCTGACTCAGCTGAGTTGCTCTGGCACGAGTGTGGTCTGAAAAGCATCCTAAAGTCAAGCACTGACTTCAATGACCAGAAAGTGTTTTTACCTTTAAAATCACAGAATCACCAAGGTTGGAAGAGACCTTCAGGATCACCCAGTGCCACCCTCACTCAACATCACCACAATCACCCCTAAACCATGTCCCCAAGGGCCACATGCAGACACCTCTGGGACACTTCCAGAGAAGTGCAGGATGTGAGGGGTCCCTGTGCACCTGCCAGGGCAGGTTTTTTGGCAACTACCCACATGGAAGTGACTCTGGGGTGCTGCCCTTCCACAGATGGTCAGCTTTCTATGAACTTCTGGATGAAAATCTACCCAGGAGGAGTCCCAGCATGGCTCGGGGCACCCTCAGGTTTTTGCCTACAAAGGAAGACAAAAGCAGATTTAAGTCCAGTAACTCTTCTGAATGTGAGCAGACAGAAAGTTCTGTGGTCTTGCACTGCAGACATGACTTAGAATCATGGAACAGAATCACAGAATATCCTCGAGTTGGGAGGGACCCCCAAGGATCATCCAGTCCCAGCCCTGGCCCTGCCCAGCACACCCCAACACTCCCCCCTGTCCCTCAGAGCGTTGCCCAAACGCTCCTGGAGCTCTGGCAGCCTTGGGGCCGTGCCCACTGCCCTGGGGAGCCTGGGCAGTGCCAACCACCCTCTGGGGGAAGAACCTTGTGCTGAGCTCCAAGCTGAGCCTGCCCTGGCACAGCTCCAGCCCTTCCCTGGGTGCTGTCCCTGTCCCAGCCAGCAGAGATCGGGGCCTGACTTGCTCCTCTCTCTGCTCTGACTCCACAAACGTGCTGACAGCCTCGATGGAAGCCTGCAAACAATTAACCAGACTTTTACCTTCTTCCTCAAGAAAAGAGATGAAAACCACATTTGAGAAATGGGATGGAACAAAATGGATTGTATCCTGCACATCTCCCAAGCATGCAAATTACTCGCTGGAGCCAAAAAAAGGCAGCCGTGAGCTCAGCAGAACCTGAGATTACAGAAAGGAAGATAACAAGGCAGGGGCCAACTGGTTGCTGTGCTGCTCCAGCTCCTTCCAAGTTCCCTTGGGCTCTGAAAATGGAAGAGGACAACGTTTTGTTCAGAGATCAGAGAAGAGCCATAAAGTGAGAACGCTCCCAGTTGCAGTAAAGAAGACAAACCCATCGCTCCTGTGGAGGTCAAAACCAGAATATCAGATTAGTTACAGCATATTAATTACATGTGAACAGTTCTCAGCATCTACACTTATTTCACAGTAAAAATATCAAACGTGGAATTAAAATTAGTGTCACTGCACAGGTAAAATTTCCAAGTTATACTCAAGCACACAGGCTGAGTCCTGGTTTGATTTGTGATCTACAAGGGCCATTTTTCAACAGCTGCTGAGAATTTCAGTTTAGTTCAGCCTGTACTTCTTGGTAAAAAATATACCCATGGAAATGAAAAAGAATAACTTGAAAGGTTATTGTTTCTAGGAGGGTGGTGTGTTGATGAAGAAGAAATTGGAACCAGATTGCTGTTTAAATTCTGGTGTTAATTATGTGGTGCAACTCCCTCTGAAATTAATGGAGCTCTGCATATATATATATATATTAAAAAAAAGGGACAATTGAGCTATTTCTGCTTCCTCTGTTATACATGAAGGCTTTGCCAGTCTACTACAGCACAGGGAATATTTAATTATTAGTGGCTACAGTTACATCACCAACCACTTCAGGGGAACCCCAAAAGCTTTAAGATGTTGAATAAAATTGTTAGGAAAACAGCAAATCCCTTTCACAAAAGGCACTTAAGTGTCCAGGGCTTTCAGTGAAGGTAACACAAAATAAAGAGTTTAGGTTTAACTTGAGAAATTTGCTCAGGGCCTTGTTTTTCCTTTAACACAGAACTTCCAAACATGCCTTGGAGGAGCAGTTTACCTGACAACTTTCATTTATGATGTTATAGAGATTTATTACTCTAACCATGGAATCACTGATATGTAATAATGTCACCCAGCCTTTGGTAAATCCTTTGATAAATCCCTGCAAAGACCTTCCTTAAGGTCAATATTTTTGACAGCTCCCATTTCCAAGTATTTCTCTGGTTTAATTTCCCAAATTTAACTATATTAACAATGTCAATCACTTGCAACTATTCAGCCAAATAAACAGATGGGCATCTCACATGGAAAAGCTTTTCAGGATGGTTCAACTCTTCTGAAGAGATGGGTGGGGTGGTTTTTTTTTTTAACTTTTCAGCGCTGTTTTAAAGAGATTTCTCCAAAGCCATCGAGGCGAGTGGGAATGTCTCCAGTGTCTTCACTGGGACCTGGATCTGGCCCAAACCAAATGGGTACTATCAAAGTTCAGGCATAAAGTGTTAAGTCTGACTCTTGCAGGAGCTGTGGTCAGTAATTAATGTGTTTTCTCTCCCCTGCAAGTCCCCATATCCAACAGGAGGTACGGCCAAGATGCTCTAGCCGACAACTTCCCGAGCTGCACCGCGCCCGTGGCAGGCAGCAGGTACAAAGAGGAGATTTACGACTCCACCATCATGAAACCCAACAAAATAGAGCCCAGGATCCAGCCCCCCCCACCTCATCAAAGAGGAAAACAAGCTGGCTTTCAACAGAGACCTCCAGGAAAAAATGAGCGTCAACGACGGCCCCTTCTCAAACTCCATCGCCAGCTCGCTGCTGCCGAAAGCGGAGTGTTTCCAGCCCAAAGCTCTGGGACAGCTCGGCCACCTCCTGCCCGTGCCCTCGGTGTACGAGCAGACGAGGCGGATTTGTGGGAAGGAGCCCAGGTACGGGGGGCACCTCGGCCACCACCACCCCGCACACCTGGAGGAGCCGGACGGCGAGGGGAGGATGGCGGTGAAGCTCGACCACGAGGCCGAGGGCGAGCGCGGGACGGACGTGAGGCCCTCGGGACAAGTGCCCTTCGTGCTCCTGAACTACCACCACGTCCTGGCCAAGCACGGGGCGTTCCCGGCCTCGCCGTGCGCGGCGCCGGGCCACGTGGGGGAGAGCTACGGGTACAACGCCGAGGAGGTGAACGCCTTCCTGTACAAAAACCAAAGCCCCTCCTCGGCCTCTTCCCCGGAAACCCACAAGGAATCTGCACTGCCCCATTACATTGGGACCTCGGTAATAATCGCCAACGGGAGGTGACGGCGGCAGAGGGGTAATTTGCGTTTAATTAAGAAGCCACAGACTGTAATGATCTGCAAAAAAAGGAAAAAAAAGAAAAGAAAAAAAAAAAGCATGAGAAAACGTGGTTACATTTACTGAGAGCAGCTGAAGGTCGGTGAGGGACAGAGTGGTGTGACAGTGGTCAGGAAAAACCCCCTCCATCCAGCTTCCCGTGCTTCCTCGTCCCAGACTGAGCTCTGGTGCCAGTGGGAAGACACGTTACAGATCTTATTTTTGTTATTTTATAGTGTGCAACAAAAAGAAATGATAGGTGTTATATGCAGAGATTTATATGAAGAACATTTTGTTTTCCTTACCCCCGCTCCTTCTCAAAATACATTCAAGATTTTTTTTTTTTAATCATTAACTATACACTTTAGTTTAGTTCTTTTTTTTTTTGGACAAATTGTGTGAAAACTTTACATCAGCTCTCCACCCCACACCCTGAGAAATGAACTTGGTTGAGAGAGTGGTGATTTTTAGAGGCCACAATCCAGCTGTACTAACCAAACAGAACTCAAGTTTGGGGGGAAAAAAAAGAAAAAAAAAGAAAAAGGAAAAAAGAGCTTATTTATTAATTATCCCAAAATGTTTTAAACTAAATAAATCAAACCTAAATTTGATTTACTTGACATAGATTTCAGTGTTCTGAGATCGTTACCACCGCCATTCATCTTGACAAGGGACAATACAACAAATTAATAGGTATTACAGGGTTACAGGTCTTGTCATGGCAAATTGGGACAAATTATGTACCAGGAACTAACAACTATTCCCCATAAAGTGCTGTAATAAGAAAAAGGAACTTCTCAATCGTGCGTTTCACTGGGAACTCTGGGAGAAACGAGCAGATTTTAACCCCAGCTACTCAAAAATACATCTTAATAACAGCACCAGAAATGTTTTCTTTATAGTCAAGAGAATAAGGAACGTTTATGCTTTATTTTAAACTTGCCAGTAGAATTGTGAGCTTTGAAAGGTTCAGCTTTCAACACACTGAACTTCCTTAAGGGTCAATCTTGTTGTCAGCACAAAGGCAGGGATTGGGGTCTGACCGACTCGTGCACTTCACAAATCCCAAACGGCACAAACACTCCCCATTAGGGATAGATTTTCACCCCCTTTATTTTTCCTTCTTTGGGAAGTTTACAAACGAGGGGACACGTGGGGCTGTGTGTGTTTAATTGACAACAGTCAGTCTGCTGTGGTTTTCAACCACTTCCCCAAACTTCCTCAATTGTTTTCTTGATAAAACAACGAATGACTCCCTAAACAAAAACTGTAAAATAAAAAACAACAAATGTTGCTGTAGGTCCAAGTCAGCTTTGCTTTTTAGCCCAATTCAAGGCTAATTCAGGCTTTTCAAAGTCTCTCTCTTACCTCTCTGAAGAGACCTTCACTGAAGAAACAACCTGGGACAGTGGAAGGTGTCCCTGCCCACGGCAGGGGGTCGAACTGGATGATCTTTAAGGTCCAACCCAAACCATTCTGAGATCCTTTGAGAAAACACTTATGTGGTTTGTGCAATATGGAAAAAACTCTTGCTCCTGGATTGCACTTTGTCAGATAAAACCATAAGGGAATAAACACTTTGAAAAATTACATGTTCTCCATCCTTTCTGTGCAGCAATAGAATCAGAGGATGGTTTGGGTTGGACCTCAAAGATCATCCAGTTCCAACCCCCTGCCATGGACAGCGAACCTTCCACCAGAATACAACAACACAGTCACTTCCTTCTGTGTATGAATATTTACTGCTATGAGTACACAAAAAAACCACTTTAAAATCATAGGTTTGAAAACAATTTTCAGTATTTGCATTGCTTAAAAAATTAAAAGGTTAGCAGAGAAGGCTTTATTATAAAGTGATGTTCACTTGGAGGCTCTCAGTTGTCTGATTTTTTCAATTCCATGGAAAGTACACTTCATGCTAAATATAACAACAAACACCTAATCAGTGATTATCAGAATAATGACTTAAAAAAAACCAAACAAACTCAAAAGCAGAACCAAAGCAGCATAACCAGCCACTCACTCGGCGTGACTGTGCTCCTTGGCTTGTTTAATGCTGGAGAAGCTGAAGGTCTCCAGAAAAAGCTGTAAAAACGTAGATTATTATCACTCTGACTTTATAAATCCAAGGGATGAGACTCAAGTTGGTTTTCCAGTGGCTGTGGCCAAGAGTGCTGCTGATAATTGACCCCAACTCCTTAAAAGACACAATTAGGCAAATGTTGATTTCGTTAATTAAACCCATGCCCTAGAAAGGAGGAACTGGCGTCGTTTGCATCGTTAAAAGGAAACCTGATGCACAGCTCCCACGCTGCACTTTGTGCCTCATTAATGGCATCGCTGCACCCAAAACCTGCTGCAGTTTTGCTGCCCTTCTGAGTCCTCCTGGCCATAAAAAAACCCCGATTTTGGGAACGTCCAAATCAGGTTTTGGTTATTAAAAAAAAACCCCACCATCGATATTTCTCAGTAAAACACCACGGAATATTTCTGCACCCTCTCCCTTGTTATTCACACTTCCAGGCTTTTTTTCAGGGAGCCTGAGCAGAGGAGGTGTTCCATCATTCTCCCCCAGATGTTTTATGGGATACTCGGGCGCTGGAACTTTCCCCTATTAGGGGGGAATAAGAGGGGAATAACGAACCGATTACACCCCAGATGATAACACAGGGGAGGTTTTGTGATTACAGACCTGTGATTACAAAAGCAAAAGTGTGAAACCTTTTTTTCTTTCCCTGCCATTCCGAACCCGGAGAGCAGCAGCTCTGTGTTCGCAGATGGAAGAGGGGGTCAATTACACCAAGAGAAAAACACGACTTTTAAGCAGGTAAACCACAGATGTTCTCGGCACACTCGAGGGGCAGAACACGGCACAGCCACCACAGTGGCAATGGTTTTAATAATGGGGAAAAAATTACGACACTGAAGCGGAGTGTGAATTGGAATATGTTACGAAAAACCACCTCATTTCTCCCTTTGAGCCACTGAGGACGCCTTTGTCGTGACACTTCACGGGATTTTAACCCTTAGTGGGGGTTCAGATCTGGCAAGAAAATGATCTGGAGAGTGGGAGGGGGAATATTACACCAAAATCAAAGGATCATGGAAGGGTTTGGGCTGGAAAGGACTGTAGGATCATCCCCCAGACCGGCGTAAAGTCAGAAAAGTTCATCCCATATTAAGCTTTTTACCCTCTTAACTGAAGGAGTGCAATGTAAACAAGGTGGTAAGGGAACAGACTCATCTCCAGGTCTCTTCAGCCCTGCGATTTGAAAAAGGCTATAAAAGTAATTTGAAGGGAATTAAGCCCAGGGGATGTAAAATTGGAGAATCGTCTATCACCGAAAGTGCAAATGAACGGGAAATCTGCCAGATTTTCTCTAAAAAAATCTCCAAACAGGACACAAATGATTTTCTCAGCACTTCAGTCACACTTCCAAAACAACACAGGGAAAAACGTTATTATTCCATTTCTTTTCCTTGAACTTTAGTTTTTGCTTTTTTTTTTTTTTTTTTTTAAATATGAGGCAGATTAAAAAAAAGCTATTTGGCAAGTGTAGGTGAAGAAGCACGCAAACCAAACAACCTAATAACGCTCAGACCTATATATGTACTCCCTAAAAAAAAAAAAATGTAAAGCATTTTTTGCTTATTTATTCTGTAAAACAAAACCCTTTAAAATGTTAATAAAACCCTGTAGCCAAAGGAAAAATCGAGCTGGATTCCTCCTTTTCTTTTTTTTTATTTTTTTTTTTAACCACGAAACACAGCGTGTCACAAATAACGGGGTCGACATCTGAAAATTTATTTCAATTGAGGTTTATATCTGATAAATAACACACTATAAAACACAGGGATTTTTTTTTAAATTGGTTGTATTTTTGCCACGTTTCGAAGGAAGAGACACTTGGGGGGGGACGCTGCAAATAACAGGGAATCACTAATGAGCTACTGGAGCACCACATCAGTTCGCAATTCTCTCCCGCAGTTCTCTTTTCTCCATCGTTTTTTGACCTCTGGTCCTTCCTCAGCCCAGATTTAATTTCTTTGGTGCGGGGCTCGGGGCGCTGCATCGCCGCCGCCACTTACACATGCAAATGCTTCCATGGGACCAGCTGCCCCCAGCAATCAGCACAATGACAGACATTTTTTTTTTTTTTTGCACATATAAAGCTCCTGCGTCTTCCAAAGGAGTTGCACAGAGCAATTCCTGAAAACTGCCGATGCAGCTGAATCGGGAAAAGCAAAGAAATAAATTTTTGTACAGCAGCACAGAGGATTAAACGCTTTAATATTATTTCCAGGTAATAGCCCTTGATTTGCTGGATAAATTTAAAAAAAAAATAATAAAAAAAACAAAAGCTCTGAAGTCTTATAAACCTTTTACTAGAAGCGAGATGTGCTGCTCGAGCTCTTAAACGGTAAGCACATTATTACTTTTTCAAATCTTTGGAAGTAGCTTTGTTGCTGACTGGGCACAACCTGCTGGCCTCCCTCTGAACGCACACACACGTGCCAACACGCCCAGCAGAAGTTTTCCTATCAATAAACAACCTCCACAAATGTTTTCACAATGAGAAATGTTATAACAGAGTCCAGGAGAAGGGGGGGGGGGAAAAGTAAAAAAAAAAAAAAATGAAGTCACAGAAATATGGACGTCGCAATAAATGGGGCTTTTTTGAAAGCACTTCATCAAGAAAATAGTTTAAGATATGACATCAGCCCCACAATGGAAGAGGTGTTTTACTAATCCAGACAGTTGAACGAAATGAAACATTTTCAGTGCATTACTCCTGGGTCTGGAGTTGTCTGATTCTCTCCATACCGATGTCCAGAGACGCTCGGCACCACATTTGTCTGAGAACAAGAATAACAAGGATTTTCCTACAAGAATGTTGCGGCTTTCTGGGCGTGCCAAGTTCGGCACAGGAGGAGTCAGGCTCCTGGCTGGGCTTCCCATCTACCTGACAGGGGCTCCTGGGCTTCTCCACAGGAGCAGCTGCTCCTCACAAGGACCTCTCCCAGCTTCTCAGTGTCCCACGGGAATTCTTCCCTGTCTTTGGTTCTTCGGAAGGGGAAGCAGCAAACCCTCCATCCAAAGTCCAGGCAGTTTCCTCCAGACCACAGGTGAGTTTTAGACATTTTTAGGACACCAGAACAGGCCACTAAAAAAGGCAAAGTGATATTCCCAGACACATCCAGACTTAGTTTAGGATCTTGCTTGTGGAAAGGGAGCTCAATCCTAAGCCTCTCCCCAATGCAAAAATTTTTGGAATAACCTTAAAACTCAAAAGTGAGAATAGAACCAGCCTATCATTAAGGCAGCCAGGAAGGAATCCAAAAAAAGAACAACAGCAACCAGGAAATGCTGCAGCATTTTGCTCTCCAAAAAATCCCTCAGCCACAGAAGGTTTGCAAGTCCATCCTTCCCTTCACACAGGAACATGTTTTATCCTTTTCCCCCGTCATTCTTTGTCCCTTGTGAAGGGAGAACACATTTTAAGGAAGCCATTCAAGCATGACCTGGTTGATAAATCTCTACAGGCACTTCTCAGTCTCCCTGGAATACACGAGCAAAATCCAAGGTGCTTCCCACGGGCACATCCTGCGGTGCCAAAGCCAAAGTGGAGATGGTGTTTTAGCTACAAATATCGTATTAAGGGAAAGTTCTGTAAACCTGTGTGGTTGGAAAACCAGTACCAGAGCTCTGCTTCCCCCAGCTGACATTGCTCATAAGCTGCTTGAGGGAAAAGGCAGAAAATGAGTGAAGATGCACAAGATGTGAGCGTGCACTTGCACACACCCCCTTTTTATGCATGTGCATAAGTGTGGTTTCTTCTTTTTTACTGAAACTTGATTAAGTCAGACTAGAGTTTCAGCTGATTACAACATGCATCAGTGTTTCATTCTGAAATAAAGGTAGCTGCCAGAAAATTCTCAGCCCAAAGCAGTTTTGAAAGCCTCAGGTGGGAAAAAGCAAAACCTGGTGTTGGTGTGTATCATTTTAATTATGCCAATCAACAGCTGTTTACACTCCACTGGACAGTTCCCTGCAGTTCTGGTGTGCAGCCTCACAAGATCTGGATCGTGGGGGAAAACAAACCAGCAGGGACACGGACAAATCCACTGTGATATGGAGCAGAAAATCCTAAACGTTACAGGGACAACTTAATTCCCTGCACTTGCTGCCAAACCACCTAAACCCTAATATGTGAGGATTGGTCAAAATTACCATTACAGACCAGTTTCCTGGTTTTAAGACTTCTTGGCTTTGTAACTGAAACAATCTCCTAACATGTTCAGATTGTTTATGAGGCGAACTTTAACCCCAAGCCCCCATTTCTGGCGGGTAGGAAGTAATTTCCTCTGTGGAAACCAATTTGGCCGATCCCCCCTCCAGCAGGGGACGAGGGAATGGAACGAGCAGCGCTGCCTACTTGAGGAAATGAAGCTTGAGGAAACATCACACCTAGGACAAAAGTTATTTTGCACAGAACTGTTTGAAGAGCTGTGGTGGCCAAGTCTTGGCGTGAAGGCCCCGGAGAAAAACCCGCCGAGCCGCTGTCGCACGGAAAACTCCCACGGGGATGCTCCAGGATGCTTCCCAGTCACGAGTAAAGTGTTGCACCCCACCTGGAACTGTGCAGGCAGCCCCCAAAAACAGCTCCTTTCAGGTCAGCAGGTGTTAAAGCTCCTGCTTTTAATGGCAGGCAGCAAACCCAGACGCTCTGCTTTGGGAAAGGGGGTGACAACAGAAGCTGTGGAGGAGAATTTGGACACAGGTGGACGGTGTGTTTTCTCTTTCTCACTGCAGCAGTTGTTTACAGCAGGGAATCTCTCATTTATTCACTTCACTGAGATCACAATATAACCACTATCCAATTTTAAACTAGTTAGAGCTTCCCTCTCCTGACGTGGGATTCCACAATGACCTTGGTCAGACACTACTCCAGTGGGCTTTTCTTACAGGGGCTGAATCCTCTTGGAAGATTAATTCAAAGGACATATAAGATGATTTACTCAGATCCAGTTGCCTAAGAAGAGCACAGTGCCAGTGATTTGGATAACCAACCACAGTTCTTAAGTGCTGATGGAGTACTCTCCAAAAAACTCAAGGCAACCAACAGAGTTGGAGACCTGAGAGCAAAGCACAGGTTGGTAAATTGTTGCACAGGCCCACAGGGAGAAGAACCAAGGCAAGGATCTCCACTTAGACCTGAAGTTAAGCACAGTGGTAATCCCAGTAAGTCAGAAATATCTGATGTTCCAGCTGTTTTTAGTGCAGACAACACATAAACCAGAAGGCAGTTTGAAAAAAAAACAGAGTAAAAAAAGTAAACATCGTCCTGCATTTTGCTAAAGTACAACAAAAACACAGAGACAGAGAGAGGAACTATTCAGCCACTTCAGTTTCTCCAATACAGTGTGTAAATGAAGAGAAAGTTCTGTTCATTGCAAAGGGTTCCTTTGCAACCAGAGTCCTCAGAAAGAACAGACGCTTCCAAAGAATGGCAACATCGGGGTGTTCTGAAGTTGATACAAAAGAATAAAGGCCTTCAGCTATGAGATCACCACCTCTTTTTGAGCTGTTGAAGTTATCCACATCAAAAACCAAAGACAGCAGAAAATCAGAAGGAAAAAAAAAAGAAATCAAGCTGCCAACTCCCCTTCCCACCTCTGAGCAAGTTCAGCCGATGGTGCCAAACACTAAAGAGTTTCCCCTGGTGCTGGGAGCTCTGGGGGCAGTTAATGCTTTGGGACTATGAGGTTTCTCAGCATGTCAAAGGAGTTGCCATCTGGGTGCACAGACTCGATCCCTTTGCCTTCCTCGTGGACCTGAAGGTATCCGTAGTCGTCTATCCCGACGATCCACGCGGTCGGCCCGTCCTCGCCGCGCAGACGGACTCGCTTTCCGCTGGGGAGAGGGAGAAAGAAGCAGGGTGTTGGTGGTTAATGGTGGGCACTGCACAATTCAAAACACCTCAGAAGGCTAATCACAGAATGAATCCGCAGAATGGATTGGATTGGGATCTTAAAGGTCATCCCATTCCCACCCCCACACCTTCCACCAGCCCAGGTTGCTCCAAGTTCCATCCAATCTGGCCTTGGACACTTCCAGGGATCCAGGGGCAGCCACAGCTTCTCTGGGCAACCTGTGCCAGGGCCTGCCCACCCTCACAGGGAAGGCTTTACCCTCCAACAGATTACTTTTATTTCCCACTTCACTGGTTCTTTACAGAGAACGATTTTCAGCAGCATTTTCTATCTGCTTTAATTTCCTTTGGTGGAATGAACAGAGTTGGAGTTAATCCAAACAGTCTATTTTATTATAATTTTTTTTTAATAGAAGCACAGCAGCTTCATCAATCACAAACCAAATAATTTCCAACTCCTTTTATTTGGAGATGACACAAGGAAAATACCTGGGATCATTCTTTAACTCATGCCAGTCCGTTGATTTTAGCACGTGCTACTTTTATTCTCCCTTAAAAATGCACTTCCTGCTTGGGAGTATATTTTAATTAATTTACTCGTTTTAAAGGAAATTTAGCAGAAAAGGTAGAAAAAGACAAAACATCCAGGAGTCCTTCTACCAACTTGCTTAAAAGAAAGCCTGAGAAGAACATTATTCCTACCTGTGCACCCAGTACTTGTAGTAACGGGGGAGAACTCCATTGGGCCCCTTCTCCTGAAAAATGTCTATGAGCCTCTCCAGCACAGTGACAGTCCTGGCTATGAGGCAGTCTGCAGTTAAAGGCTTCAGCTTTGTCCCCTCTTCCTTATTAAATTTTGTGATGAGGTCATTGATGCATATGGTGGGGTTGCTGTTGCTCACATTAAATCCGAAGCCTGAAGAAGACAAAGGAGAAGGATCAAAGGGACGAACACTCTGTTACCACCAGAGTCACTACTTTATTCAGCTACTCAGTACAGTTATTCCCTAGGGATGTTTCCAGTAGTTGCTTTTTTTCAATCTCTTACACCTTTAAATCTTCTCACTCTTGTCATTACAATTCTCAGTTCAGGTGTTACTTGTTCCTTGTTGTTCCTTGCCCTCAAAACGCTCTTTAGAATTACAGAAGCCAATCCAGCAGGGTCTTTCAGCACCACACCATCCAGTCAATGAGGGGTGGGAAGATGGTAACTGGCACTTTGGTTACAGTAACATCAAAGTGAGAAATTCTTTCATGTCATCAGCTAACTCATAGTGAACCCCTGATCATTCTCTGAGATGGAGTTTCATCTTTCAGCCTAAAATGTAATTCAGAGACCTCTGTGTTTACTACAGTTGGCTGGTTGCATTTTCTGAAAACCAAGCCTTTTTCACTCAGCTGATAAGCCTTGTTTGGCTTGCTCTGGAAAGCCCAGAAGATTTAACTTTAACTTTCTAAGACTCCAGTTTGCTTAATCTATCTCACCACAGCATATCCTTTAGAAGCCTCAAGTGTCTCGCTGAGATTTCTCCAGCTGGAATAACGTTGGCAGAACGCCTTTCTTGTTTAAATATGGCTCTTGGGGCCTTTCCTGCTGCCTGCTGGAACAGGCTTCGAGGGATGTAGAGAAATATATTGTATTACCTGTTTATTTTTTTCTCCTAATAATTTGTTGGGTTTTTTTTCTCCCCTCAGACATTTGGGATAAACCCCGCTGTCTGTCAAGCAGTGTTAGACATGATGCACCTCCATCTGCAAGAAGGTGCAGATACCTTGTTTTGTAAATTTACTATTAATGAGACTTCCACGCATATATGGAAGTAATTTGTGTTAACTGTGAGGAGAAGGATCCCTTCAGTGAAAAGGAGTTTTTGATTTTTAACCAGTTCAGGGAATGCAACACAAACAGGGCCCAGTGATACCAGTACCAACACACTGATCCCGGGGAAATGAGCTGAAATGCATTACTGGAAAGAGATGAAGGAAAATGAACTGGAAAACACTTTGTGCCATGGCAGCAAATCCCAACTCGGCTGTTTCCACTCAACCACAGCACAAGGGAAGAGAGTGCCCTGCGTGTAGTGTTGTGAGGGGGCATCACAGGGCTTTGGGGTCCCTCAGCAGCTCTCCTTCCGAAAGCCCTGCCACCCTCAAGTTCTTAATTTTTACATTTCCATTAAAAAAAAAAAAAGGTTTGGTTTGGTTTGGTTGTTTCTCTTTTTAATCAGGTTTAAGAGCATGGAACATGAAGTGTTGTCCTCTGCGAGGCCTTGAGCGCTGCAAAGGCAGGTTGGTCTCTGCCCTTGTTCTTCTGGGGTAATTCTCACAGCAGTGAAGGTCTGAAGAGCTTTGATTCTGATCACTCTCCTCCTGTGTGGGATATTCCTCACGAATGCCATGGAATGATTGAGTTCAAGGCCTGGCCGTGGCACTCAGTGCTCTGGGTTGGGTGACGAGGTGGGGATCGGGGCACAGGTTGGGCTTGACAGACTTGGGGATCTTTTCCAACCTCACTGATTCAGGGATTCTGTCTGGGTAAGGGATCTGCACGACTGTAGAAAAGGGATGGTGCACCTGGTGCATCACTTTTCCTGCTGTGGAAGTTGGATCTACCACCACTACTGATTTAAGAACTTAGACGTCATGAATCTCCCCAACTGCTCTCCATGACACACGATGGAAAAGCTCCTTAAATTCATCTGTAGCAAGTAGGTTTTAATTTTGGAAGCTTCCAGGTGAAAGTAAACTGATGAACAGGTACATCTTTTGTCTACACCACCCCCAGGATAACTCCTATGGGTATCAGAGAGAACAGACGCAGAAGGTTTTAATTTGAATTTAATGGTTTGGTGTTTAGGGTAGGAAATAAAAGGTCCAAACCAAATATTTGCATAAGAGATATCTGATATAATAAAATATTTTGTGATCCATTTCTGCTTTTCCTCTGTTAACCAGAAAAGGCTCTAGAAAAGCATGGAAGCAATAAATGATTAATGGGGCACAGAGAGACTTCTTAAGTGTCTTGGTGTAACTTCCATTACAAAATGAGGATATAATTGAATAGAAAATGTAATGCCTGGGCATGTTTCATAGAAGGAGGTGATCACTTCCACTGTTTTGTTTGTTTGCACCTCTAAAATTACAGCACCTTGACAGAAACCACAGATAACACGACCACACTCCCTTTCCAAGACACTTTCCTTCTGTTACATTCAAATATAACCCAACTGTTATCAAATTCTTTAACCTTTTAGACTTGTTAAGGAATTTTTTAGACATAGCAGAGATAATTATTTTTGGAACCAGAACCTGGAGTTCTGCTGGCAGGTTTCTGACATGCATCTGTGATGCTGCTGGTTAGGGGAAAAACCTTCCTTATCAAACAGCAGGATAATTATCAGACTTGAGATGATAAAAACACCTCAAAGATTAAAAAATTAAAACATTACTATGTGTACGTAGCTCTTCCTCTGCTGATTTAAAAGGCATGTTCTTTATTTAACTATCTGTCATGTTATTAAAAAAAGCAAATAGAAAAAAAAAAAAGGAGACAGTTTTTAGCATATTCTACTAGTTTTGCAATAAATCAAGAACAATCTTCCTCTGTCCTGTGGTGCTCTTTCTTTGAACTCTACTACCTCAGCCCAAATGCCTGCATTTATGTTTTCCTTGTCAAGCATGTGGAACTATTAAGAAAAATGAAAACATTTACTTTCTCTGCTTCCTTTTGATTTAATGTTGTGCTTTACTTCCTAATGCCTGCTGTCACTATTTGTTCTTGTCGTTACCACGTGAACTTATATGGACATTAATAACAAATTTCTTCAGGGAAAAAAAAAGCAGCACATAAAAGCTCGAAAAGCTTGAAAATAGACATTTACCAATCAGTATATGAAATGTTGTTTCAATAAGTGTCGAGTTTACCAGAACTCCACCAAGCTTCATAAGGTCACTGTAGTAAATGTCATTTGGCCATTTCACTCGCAGCTCAATATCCTAAAAAAACCAAAACCACACATTTAGAAACGTTTTGCTCTTCAATACTCATTATAAGAACACAGCTCATTCATCATTCCATGCTTTGTATGGAGTCACAGAACGGTTTGGGTTGGAAGGGACACTAAAGATCATCCAGTTCCTCGCCCTACCATGGGCAGGGACACCTTCCACCAGCCCAGGGTGCTCCAAGCCCCGTCCAACCTGGCCTTGGACACTTCCAGGGATCCAGGGGCAGCCACAGCTTCTCTGGGAATTCTATCCCAGCCCCTCATCACCCTCACACCCAAGAATTCCTTTCTAATACCCCATCTATCCCTGCCCTCTGGCAGTTTGAAGCCATTCCCCTTGTCCTGTCCCTCCAGCCCTTGGAAATAGTCTCTCTCCATCCTTCCTGGAGCTCCTTCAGGCCCTGCAAGGCCACACTCAGGTCCCCCCAAAGCTTCTCTTGTCCAGCTGAACAATCCCAGCTGTGCCAGCCTTTCCTCCCAGCAGAGCTGCTCCAGCCCTGGGATCCTCTTGGTGCCTCCTCTGGGCTCTCTCCAGCAGCTCCCTGTGCTCCCTGTGCTGTTCCCAGGGCTGGAGCAGCTCTGCAGGGGGGTCTCACCTGAAGGGGCAGAGGGGTAGAATTTTCTCTACCTCTTTGCCACACCAACTGTGAGAACTGTGAACTGCTCTTCAAAATGAGAATCTATCTAAGTGCTCCACAAATGTGACTGAAAACATCATAGTAACGTGGTGACCAAGGAGGATGGCAGCTGTCAGGGAAAAGTATTACTAATTAAATACATATATATATATATATATATAAAATAGAAAAAGGCTTAGAGTGTCCAAAAGGGGACTAAAGATACTAGAGGTTGTCAGTCTCAAAATGGTGAGGTTTTATAGAATAATTTCCTTCATTCATGAGAGCTTATTAAAGATTTAAAAGATTTACTCAAGAAGGATGCAAACTGAGGCTCAGTGCTGATGAACAACCAGGGGAAGCCCCAAGTAACATCCCCGCTCTGCTTGAGGATCCCTCCAGACTCCAAAGAGACGGTGACATCCTGAATTTCCGAAAGGAAACTTAGCAGACAGGAGAAATTCCAGTTCACAACCGGATAAATAACTCGACTGATGTCCCAAATTCATTCAGGCTCTGGGCAGCGACGCCGGAGCTGGAAACACAAACCGTGCTGTGTGACACCATCCCAGCCCGATAGAGAGGGGGTTTGTTGAAACCACAGGACCGAGCTGAACTTTGCACCGGCTACTTGAACACAGAAAGCAAGCAAATGTGCTTCCTGCAGTTTGAAAAACTGCACAGGACTGAGCCCCCGGGGGCAAATCACGGGAGGTGCTCCCGGGCTACGAGAGTCGCGTTCCCTCCTATTGTAGATTACGAAATCCCTTTACAGGATGTGTGAAAGCTGCACCTGGGTCCATGGCTACGTTCCTGACAGATTTAAAGGCCAGAGAGGAGTCCATTACACGTTCATTGACAGGAAATACTACCTGATTTTGCTATCAAAGCAGTCTAAGGGAAAGTATCGGCTCAGATTCGTTATGGAAAACGACTCGACTCTCCGCGCTGGGAAAAGGTTTATAGGAGGCTCCTGAGACACGTGAAGTATGACATAGTTAAATGGTATTATCAGTGATAAAAGGTCTTCTGCAGAGCTACCCAGTAGATCTTACTTGTGGGGAAAACATGACACCTGTAAGACACCAGGCAGCAGCTCTGTGACTGAAGTGACGACAAGCAGGAAGAACGACTGAGTCAGTGGGGTGTTCTCACGGTGTCAGTCACACAGCACACAATCCTCGCCCCAGAATGGATTCACAAGGTGCCACACGGTGGTAAAGGAATGATGGATGTCACAAAACGTGCTGGGAATGGAGCATGGAGAGATGTCTGCTGTCCTCAGAACGGGAAAGCCAAGCCTTCTCCTGATAGAAGGCCCATTTGGACCTGCAGCATTAACATCCCACGGGGAAACTCCCAACCGAGCCATCAGATTTGCTCTCTGAGGTCACAGGACAAAGGCCTCAAGTGCTGCTTCTTCAGCAGAGTCAACAATCCTGGCAATCCTAGAAATGATGGCTGGTTGATACACTGAGACGTGGGTAACTCGGGTTTTGGAATGGAAATCCTCAAATGGGCTCTGAGCAGAGTGAAGGGCATTAAAGTGTGTTAATGTGTTATTAAGATTCTGACACACTCCCACAGAGGGATGGAAATTTGGAGGAGAGAATGAAGCCTATGGTGTCCCCAGCACTGGAAGGAGATGGATTTGTTGGAGTGAGTCCAGAGGAGGCACCAAGAGGATCCCAGGGCTGGAGCAGCTCTGCTGGGAGGAAAGGCTGGCACAGCTGGGATTGTTCAGCTGGACAAGAGAAGCTTTGGGGGGACCTGAGTGTGGCCTTGCAGGGCCTGAAGGAGCTCCAGGAAAGATGGAGAGAGACTATTTCCAAGGGCTGCAGGGACAGGACAAGGGGGAATGGCTTCAAAGTGACAGAGAGTAGGGTTAGATGGGATAATGGGAAGGAATTCTTCCTTGTGAGGGTGGTGCGGCCCTGGCCCAGGTTGCCCAGAGAAGCTGTGGCTGCCTCTGGATCCCTGGAAGTGTCCAAGGCCAGGAAAGAGGAAATTTAAGCCTTGAGATTCTGATAAATTTTTGAATTTCCATGCTTTAATTTGAATCCTGCCCCTTAACATGAGTTTCATCCATCGCTGACGTCCTGTCAGGTTCAGTTCCTCTCTCCTGCTCACAGCTCTTGCTGTGCCCACATTGCAGGGACAGGACATGCATTGCTGCCACACACCATTTTTACATCCATATTTAGCACTTCAGGCACCTTTCTCCACTTGGATGGAATAAAGCTAAAAATGCCACAGCATGCCAGGGTAGGCCCCCAGAAGCAAAACCACCTCCATTTATAAATTAGCTCCTTCCCCAGTCAGCCCCCTGTTTTATAAAACCAACTCCTGTCCCTCCCGTTTTAAATGGTTAAAGTATTCACTCTAAGCAAATATTTTATATTGCAAATTTTAGCCTGGAGCATTTTGTTTTTATGGTCAGGTTATGAAGCACTGAAGTTAAGAGGGTTTTAATAGGAAGGCTGACAGACCCTAAACTACAGCAAAGCTACTGGGTGCCACTATAATAAAGTTCATGTGTAAATGTGTATAAGTCATTGATTTTCTGTAATATAGGAAACATATGCTTTAGTTAACTACTTCTGTAAAATACCAAAGTTTTATAGTTAGCAAATATTAGGAAATGGTAACATTAAAAAGGAGATATATGAGGTGATGAAGAAGACTGGTTCTTCATTTTAATACTGATGACAGGACACTTGATTCCCTCTCGAGAGCAATACTCCTAAGTTCTTGCTTTAGAAATTAGTTTTCAACCTTAAACAAGGGTTGGAAAAATCCTTTAAAAGGGATAAAGTGACCACTGAAACAGCACAAACAAAACCGAAAAAAAGCAGCAAAGGATTTGTCAGTTTTATTCATTTTCCCTTCTCCTTCTTCCCCGACCCCTTGGAAATCAAAACAAATTAACTCAAAATTGTTGGGCAAACAAAACGGATTTTTTTTCTTTACTGCTGAGGACTGAGGCTTAAGTTTCAGAAGATTATGAGTGAAATGAGTGGAGTGCACTTAATCAGCTCAGCAAAAGGCATGTGGACACTAAATTGCTGAAAACATGTAAGTAATCAAATGTTATCAAGGTTAAGGTTATCACTGTATTAGAGCTGAAGAACTATACTCTGATATTCTACACACAGAAGGCACAGTCCAAACCTGAATTCAGTGGAAAACGGGAATTCTGAGATAAATTAGAACGACATACCTCATATCCTGGTATTGATCTGACTGACTCCACCACTGCCAGAGACACCAGGTGCTGAATAAAAGGAATTCTCTGGCCTAGGTTGGAATGGAGGGGAATGGTGATATGCAGAGTGGAGAGAGCACAGCCCATGGGGCTGAGCCAAACATTCCCACCACGACCTGGGGAGGGGCAGAGAAAAAGGGAACTTCAATTCAAGAAAAGAGTGTTTATAAAAAAAACACATCACTTTGTGAAGGTAGGGAAGGATTCAACAGCATCCATCAGTCTTGTAATGAGTTTACAAACTGATTTTGAAAGAAGAAGGGTGAGAGTGCAAAGCTTTTTCTTGGAAAAACCAGCAGTTTGTTTAATGTTCTTATCCTTGGAAGTGTCCAAGGCTGGGTTGGATGGAGCAACCTGGTCCAGTGGGAGGTGTCCCTGCCCACGGCAGGGGTGGAACAAGATGATCCTTAAGGTCTGTTCCAACTCAGGCCATCCTAAGATCCTATCCTATGATTCTAATGTACAAGTTGCTACTCAATTTCCCACCATATCCTAAATTATTTGCTTCCAGGATTTCCCTGGTCTCTGTTGAAGTGCACAAGCATTTGTGAAGCTGCTCTGAGTGCACCTAAAAACCCACCCAACGTTGGGAATGAGCTCCACACGAGGCAGGCCCGCCCTGAGAGCCTGGTGAACATCTTTACATAGATCTGTGCTCAGAAAAGCTTGTCAGGCCAGCAACTGTGGTCTTCTAATAAAATAAATGTGGCTTTTAAAGAAATGCTAGAAGCTTTCTGGGCAAGAAAAAGGGCTTGCTGACATTTATCTGCAAAAGACTCTTCAGGCTGGTCCTGCAGCCTCAAGAAACCTCTCAGAGCAAGGCAAGACCAGGTCTTGCTCCAGTGAAGCCAAAAAGGATTTCTGCTGTGGAACTCTGACTTGGATTACACTAAATGCAGTTTTACACTAAATGTAGTTTTACACTAATGGCAGTTTCCATGACTGGGGAGACTTTTTGGCAGCAACCAGAAGACCACTAAATCATCTCTGCAAGAACCACCAAGTATCCCAAAAATGTTTACTTTGGGCTCTGTGTACTTGGGGTTTGAGTTTGAACCCCTCAGTTCAAGCAGGAGGAGAAGAAGACACAATCATTCTGTAGGTTACACTATCAAAAATAATCTTTGAAGCAGCGAGATGACATTAAAATGTCCTGTTTCATCTGTTTAATGCACTAGAAGGGAACTTACCTTTCCCTTGTGTTTGTCGAGCAGCAATTGCTATTAAACCCATCTCCTCAGGCACATCCAACATTAACCTGCCAATTAGGAAAAAAAACAACAAAACATGCTTATCAGCTGCAACACCAAGCTACACTCATGAAAATCAAGGCTTAAATATCAGGCAGTATTTTATGTCAGCACTGCACCACCACTTATCCCCTTTCAGTCAATGTTTACTCTCGATCAAAACCCATCAGAATATTAAGAACTGGTTAACTGAAAGATGATGATGTAAACCATTGCTGTGTCTATCACACTTCAGAGCCATAGTTCATTTAAGGTGCCTTCTGATAACACAAGTTTTGTATTTCTTCACATTTTCCTGCAGTGTCATTTTCTTTTTTTTTTTTTGCTGTCGTATCTTCAGGAAGTGACAACCAGCAATTCCAGACATTTGTTTCTACTTACAGCAAATTTTTGTCCATGCTACAAAATATAAGAGCAGCAGTTTCTGATTATTTAGAAAACCAATATGGTGGCAATAAAGCAGTTTAAAAGATACACTATCCCCTGAGAACTAATTATGATTTAACTACAGTAAATAAATCTACACCTTCTGAGAACTCTAGAGAACACTGGCTTATTTTAGGCTTGTGTTCTGCTTTTAAAATAGTTTCACTTAAAAGAATAGTAACTTTCCTCTGGGGATAAGTAGAAAGTGCACTTTAACACCACCAAATGAGTCAGTGCTAGACTTGGGGGAAAAAAAAAATAAAAAGGGAAGAAAAAACCCTACTGTGAGAACTTCATTCAAGCCACTTTAAACCAGATCTGAACTGTACCCACCACCCTCCTCCATTTCACGTTTTCAGGAAGAGTTATTTAACAGATAAAACACATTCAGCGTGTGCCCTCTGAATTTCTGATCCTTCTGAGAGGTGTTTTAAGGTGTGGAACCAAGCAAAGACCTGCTGGGAGCAGAAGTGTCCCCTCACTGCCCACAGATGGGTCTTTGTGCAGGTGACAAGCTGAGGAACCTCCTGCTCCACAGGCCCTAAAATGGGGCATCAGTAACTCCTGGAGGTGCCAAAACACAAGAAACCCCAAGGTTCCAGAGTATCTTCCAAATGACTTATTTGCTTTCACACTGATCAAAAATGGTTACTGGGGGGGGACCAAGCAAAGCCTGGACCACAAGAGCCTTTGCTAAGAACAGATCACAGAATGCTGGGATGGTTTGGGATGGAAGGGACCTTAAAGACCGCCCAGTTCCAACCCCCCTGTCGTGGGCAGGGCCACACAAACCAACAGAAGCTGGGACAGGCTCCACAGCGCTTTCCCACAGGACTCCTGAATGGGGGAGATGATGTCAAAGAGCAACAGGTTCTTCATCTCTCTGCCAGTGCCCTTCCAGTGCTCGTGAAACACCGCTCGATGATCCTCTCCTTGGGACCCTGGGGATGACACACTGAGACCAGGCTCACCTACCCACCTACCACCAACCTTCAGCAGTACATTGTACCTCTTCTCAGCACTAAATCACAGGATCACCAAGGTGGGAAGGGAGTTCAGGATCACCCAGTGCCACCCTCACCTGGGACACTTCTTGCAAGGCCTGACCACTCCTGCAGGGAGAAATTGTTTCTGATCTCTGCTCTGACCCTGCCCTGGGGCACTTTGAGGCCATTCCCTCTCCTCCTTTCCCTTGGGATGTGGCAGCAGAGCCCGACCCCCCCTCCCTGCCCCCTCCTGTCAGGGAGTTGCAGAGAGCAATGAGGTCCCCCCTGAGCCTCCTCTGCTCCAGATAAACCCCCCAGCTCCCTCAGCTGCTCCTCACAGGACATGTTCTCCACACTCTTTCCAATCTCCATTCCCTTCTCTGGACACGCTCCAGCCCCTCAAGGAGAAAATCCCCCAAAGCTCACGAGGTTTCATCCCCGTCTTCTGGGAACAGCCTGATCTCAGTCCCAACACCAAGCCCATGGCTTTGCAACATGAAAATCTGATTTAAATTTGGAAGCACAGTTAGGAAGAGATTATAGGCTTTGTTGAAGCACACTGATGTCTGTGACTTCTCCGCTCACATATCTGTCTTTAAATAGGAGAAAAAGAAAAAACCAAACAAACAAACCAAAACAGCCATGTGCTGCCACGATGGGAGGAAAACAAACAGAGCAGGAAAAAAGTTAATTAGGAACCCAAAACACCAAAGAGATATGATTAACAGAGCACATGAATGCAGCTATTAAAGGCTTGGCAGCAGGTAACAACATATTAAACGGAGAGACCAAGGTTGTACTTTTTAAGGGCCACATGAAGAAGTTCTTTAAAGGACACAAGATGGGGAAGTTGTGAATACCCAGACTGATACAGCAAGAGACAGATAGATTTAGTTTTACTGCTTCCTGAGGTTGTGCTGGAATTACTGCGAAGCCTCTGATAATAAAACAATCTCCACACGGCCACCCCCTGCTCCCCCCCCCCCACAAAGACTTCAGAGCTTTGTAAATGGTGGGTGTGCTTGTTAGTTGTTTTTTTCAGGGAGAAACAACTTGGATTTCCCTTCCCAGAAAGATTAACTGTACGTGCACTTTTTCACATATTGACTTCCCTTCTTTTCTTTCAACTTAATCAGTTGCAGCTTTAACAGTTTAGTTTTTCTGCAGTGACTTAATCACAGTGCTCACCACATTCCTCCCCCCCACCCCCCAAAAAAAACCTTTTTCCTTCGAGAAATTCTCTGTTCTTTTTTCTTTTTTTTGGGTGCTCATTAACTTGCTCTGCATATTAAGTCAAAAGACCACATTGAGATACAAGAGTAGGGAAAAATGAAATGTCTGGAGGCGAATTCACCCATCAGGAAGAATATCAGATGGCACTTTATATGATGGTTGAAGATGATACTGGAATTTTATGTGGATTCTGCTTTGAACATTTTTGTGGTATTTTCCAAAACGTGAGCAAGGTACTTTTGGTGTTCAAGGATATTAAAGCAGCTGAAATACTAAGGGAGAGATTCTCATTTCTCAAACAAATACCCTCCTCCCCGCCCTGCAGAGCATACTGAGAATGCTGTCCCGAGCAATAAGCAATATTTAATTGTTTTACAGACATTTCAAGTGTAAGGAGGACACTTGGCCACTCAACACAATGAACTTTGGCCCTACAAGAAAATAAAATGGGAACTGAAACCACAAAAACCTATGTTTGAGTAATGTTAATGGCCTGACAACTATAAATTTCACTGATGTTGTGGATTTAAGATTGAAACTCTCATTAATGCATCCTGCTGTGTTACAGAGGTATTCCAACAGGCAGCATTGAATTCCAGATGTTCAAATACCTGGGCACCAGAGGGGGGAATTCTGACCAGATTTCTCCCTCCCCTTCGAGTCCCTTGTCTGAAAATCTCACTCTCAAATAGCTTATTCATAGAGTATTATAAATATATTGTGGTCCAGGTGGATGAACCAACAGATGAGCAAAGAGTGTTTGGATTCTGGGATTGAAAAGTAACGGTCTGGGCTCCACCTCTAGGCTGGAGACAACTGCAGCTCCTCAGGGCTTTACCCCGAGACTTGGCCTATCTAACGTCTTCATTGGGATAAAAAGGAAATTAAGACAAAAGGAAATGAGGAAATAAGAGGAGGAAATGGCATGAACATCAATCAAATTTGTGAGGAACACTGATCTATGAGGATAACCAGACACTGGAAGAGAGGCTGTGCAGGTTTTTAAGATCTGACTGGAAAAAGCCCTGAGCAAGTTGGTTTGAATTAATTGCTGACCCTGCTTAAAAGTAGGAGGTTGGTCTAGAGACCTGTAGGGATCCTTTCCAATCCCAGTGATCCTTTAATTCCAGAGTATGTACAGAAAGTTGGTATCTCTGGTGTTTCCAGCAGTCATTTAGGTTTGGTTGAAACCAGTCAGAACAAGCCATTAGCCACCAATTACAAAAATAGCAATTTAGCCCCAAGGCTGTTCCCTGGAATCCCATATCCCAAGCAGGATCCTGAAGTCACTCTCACACTCTCTCCCTAGCCTAAATATTTCAATTTATTCATCTTCCACTTTCCACGAGGCATTTTATACGTGGCCAGGTGCAACCTGAAGGCTCCCAAAAGATTGACCCCTCCCCTCCACCAAGGTGAGACAAGTAGAGAACACCTCAACTGTTAATCCTGCTGAGGGCTCATTTCAATGACAGGAATCTCCCCATTCCACACTGAAAACTCTGCCTACATCCAGCAGGCAAAGTGTCTGCCAGAACAGCCTGTTCCATGAATGCTCTCTTCTGTTCTTGTGCAAAAATTCTGAGCTTCTTTCCACTTTCTAGTGGGCTCCCCTATAGCGGTGTTAGTACAGAAAGGGCCATTTAGTGTCAGCTTGAACTCCTTGGATGCACCAAAGTCCTGCCTCAGTGAGAAAAAAAAGCATTAAAGGGAGTACAATGTCCCAGCCACAAGGAAAAGTAAAAAAGTAATAATAATAATTAAAAAAAAAGGGACTGGAACCTTGGACAGCTGGTTTCTTGTACCTTCCTTCAAGGAATCCTACAAAAAAAAAAGAAGATTGTCCTCTACTAGACATGACACTCTCAGCAAGGAATTAGAGATGAGCAACTTACAGGTGGTTAAATCTCTGAGAGCAGGACAATAATGACAATCCAGTTCCAAGGAAGCTGCAGGATCCAGTGAGGAGGGCAAAGTCAGGGGAGTTATTTTCTCAGCTGGATCCATGCTCTGATCTGGCTCACCACAAATGAGCTCTGCTGTTGGCAAAAGGGAAACAACACTAAAAGATGCCAGTGGATGGAAGGGAAGAATAAACCACCTCTTTCTTCCCACCCTGCTTGATTTAAATGACAATATTTTGGCCTTGGAATAGTCCCTGCTTTGCTTGTGGAATTGCTTTGACAATCAGGCCTCCTGCACAGGCAGGAGAGTAGAACTCTACCACTAAACCCTCATTTTTCTGCTCGCTGCATTTTTCAGCTGGTAATTTTCTTGTCTCTTTATTTTTATACCAGATATTTTATAATTAGTCCTTTGTGTCTGTTTATAGGCTTTTCCTCTTTAAAAAAAAAAAAGGAAGA